GAGAGAGAGAGAGAGAGAGAGAGAGAGATGCCACAACGCGGGCTTTTAAATCCCGCGCCATGTGTACAGAGCACAGCGCCCCCGCAGGACTAACCTACTTGGTAGCCAGGCTAACCACCACCAGGACAAAAAAAATAACAACATGGGACGCCAAGTTGCCCTCTCCAAGTACCGTGAGGTGGGTCTCGCAAGATTAATTACATGCTGGCGTTTTTGTTTGTTTTCAACAGTGTACGAGGCTTTCAGAGTGTGTGGCCCTCCGCTATTAGGGGGCGGGGCCGTGAGCGGACTGGCAAACGCTACGGACGACAGATCGGGACCTCCCCCGCACTCTCGCACTCACACAAGTGCAAAGGGCATTACAGCGATGACTAGGGAGAATTTGCGGCGGGTTCATGCGAGGTCGCAGCAGCAGCGGAGGAGGAGGAGCATCAGTGAAAGTGCACATTGCATGCTCTCTCTCTAACACACACACACACACACACGCACTCACACACACACACACACAACACGTGTAGCACACCCCCGCGCTCACTCACGCGGACACTGTGACGAGGTGTGTGCGTGGCGTGTACTCGTTCATTTTGATAGTCTGTTTCAAAGTCTTCCTATTTTTGTTTCCTGTTGTTTGGCAGTGTTGTCTGAAACACAACATACGAAAAGTGGATGCCGGCGAGCAAGGCCCGGCGGTGGGAGGCGCTTAATGTGTCCCGTCAGCACCCGCTTGGTAAAACGGAAGCCTTTGCGCAAGGCGCAGGGAAGGGGGCCGCGCTGGGGCCGCCCGGGCATCACCGTATCCAACACCATCCAGCTCATGTGGAGCGCAGCGCGCAGCGGCGGGCCCTCCCATAGTCCCAGCGACACCTAAGCCCGTCCTCCCAGCCGCCCAGCCCGGCGCAGCCTTCCACGACCGCACAGTGGACCGTCCAGGACGTCCTATCCCGTCCGCCGTGTTTCGGAGAGCCTTCCTGGCCGCTTCCAGCGGCGATGCGCTGCCTGGAGCCACTCCAGCCCTGGAGAAGCTGAGGCGGCAAGGAGAGGGGAGGGGGCGTGGGTCGCTCCACTGTACACGGCTCCACACCACAAACGAGATGAGGGAAAAACCGCGGGGTAAATAAAATGAAATAAAAATGTATGCAGCACGGCCAAAAGTAAACACGAGAAAACGTATCTAGATTTTTAAAAATTTCTGTACATATTTTTTGTTTGAAATAGAAGAGGTAAAAATTGGATTAGTTTGCAGCAGTGTGGTAGTGATGATCTCTGGCTTCCGCGAGCGGCGCGGGGCCATCGCACCGTCCGCTCCCCCACACTGTAAGCCACACTGTAGGCCACACTGCGAGCCACACTGCGAGTGCACCGAGGGAGCGGAGCAGTGCCACTGTCACCCTGAGGCTTATATGGAGCGTGATCCACGCCACGCCGCGCCACGCCAGGCGCACTCATCCATGCCACGTCCTTGTGTTCGTTCGCAAACCGTGCGCGCCGTGCCGCAGGGCTCCGCCATGCAACAGCAGCAAGGGCCTGTGTACTAGAAACCGCAATTAAAATTAAATCACAATATTTTCAATTTTTTTTTCATTTTTTTTGTCGTGGTTTTTGCGAGTGTTTGCGACGCCCCACGGTGTAGTGGCTGCGGCTGTTAACGTTAAATCAATTAGTGGCCGGGTTATGTGCACCGACTTTATGGCGGAGAAAGTCCCTTTGTCCCCAGGGGCCTTTGGCTTGCCTTTGGCAGTGGCGGGGCACCGCCACAGCACTGCCACGCCACGGCCGATGCCTCAAAGAAAGCGATCATCCCGTTGACATGCTGCGATGCGCACCCTGTCGTGCGACGCACCGCGCGGCACCGCGCTCGACGCGCTACGCTGGGCCCGTTTTCCTTCTCTCTCGCACTCACGGCGCGGCCCCAACAGGTGCGAGAGAGACAGAGCGAGACTCTCGGAACCAGCCGGGCAGGACGAGCGCACGAATTACTTCTCCAGCGAGCACGTTCCAGGATTGCATCAGATTGGCGCATAGATGAACAGTGTGTGTGTGTGTGTGTGTGTGCTTTGTCGTGATGAAATCGCAGTACTCGTGTACTTCCCGCTATCGTGTTCGACAAGGGGGTTTACCAGTGGAGAGACGCCGTAGAAGAGAAAATAAAGCAGAGAGACTCCAGCAGAGAGACTCCAGCAGAGAGAATCTAGCAGAGAGACTCCAGCAGAGAGACTTCAGCAGAGACACTCCAGCAGAGAGACTCCAGGCGGAAACACTGGCCGCGAGTCCACTTACTTTTCTAGCGGCCCGTTCCTGGAGAGCCTGCATGCCTGCATGGACAAACCCAGCCCTCGCAGTAATGCTCGGTGCAAGGTGAAACTCGGCAAACGCCGCGACACGCTGGTGTATTTGCGCGCCGGTGTGAGCGTATTTGTGTGCATGTGTGAGTGTATTTGTGAGCCTGTGTGAATGTCCAAACAGAAAGGAAAGCCTGGAGCACGTGCGGAGGGAGGGACACTGGGACGCCCAGCGCTGCGGTGCTGTGGTTCCAGACGAAGCCGTGGTCCAGTGACGACCTATGGCGGTTCCAATGAGAACCCCGTGGTGGTCCCACGGCGTCCATGCCGCTGCGGCTGCCCTGGCTGCCCTGGCTGCCCCGGCTCATGCAGCACATTCCCATGCTGAATCCAATGCATCATTCCATTCTCCGTTCCCCCGTGTGTCGCCATAGCATTGAGCGGTAAGGAGGGCCGGCGACAGCTTAGCAGCTGGAACACGACCAATCCCTGCCCCTCCTTCCGAAGGACCCGAGCAGGACACTGGCAGGACGCCTTCCAGCACAATGGTAGAAAGGATAGAGAAGGACCTGGCGGGGCGGCCCGATGGGCGGACAGACAGACAGGCAGACAGACAGACAGACAGACAGACAGACAGACAGACAGACAGACAGACAGACAGACAGACAGACAGACAGACAGACAGACAGACGGGTCAGACATGACAGGCAGAGGGATGACCTTGGGCATCAATGCAACGTCCTAATCTGGGTACGGCCTCGGCGGTGACAAAAAGAGGAAAAGCAGCGGGACGGGGACTTGAACCCGGGACGCGAATGCGAAGACCTGATCGGCCACAACCCGCACTAACCCCATGACGAAAGCACTCAGAACAGCGCCAATGTGTGGTTTAAAAAAAAGTTTTAAAATGCATTCTTAAATTTCTTATTTAAGGCCGAAACTTGGTAGTAGTGCTATGGGGAGCGTGCGGAACGGGGCGAGTGAAGCAGAAACAAAACAAAAACATGCCGAGAAAAAGGAACGATTTAGAGACGGCGCGCGAGGCACGGCGGAGTGCAGTGTGAACACAATGAACCCATCCATTGGAGGCCTTCTCTCGTCGTCGCATAATTGCATCAATCCGGCCGTAATTGCAAAGGCAAGCGCGAAAAATGCCGCGAAAGCTGCTCATTTGCTTAATTTGCGGCAGCAAATGCCGCATCAGCAGCAACAGCGACAACAAAATCAGCAACAACGGCAGGAATTGGGAGAGTCTGCGGCCAATCGGCTGTGGATCGTCGGAAGAATCCCTGGAAGCCGAGCGGGCCGCGCGCAAACGAGTGCAGTACAGTCACCTGCGAAAGTCGGAGCTCGGAGGCGGCCGATGTCGAAATCGCTAGCGAGGGAGCCTGTGCTCGCATTAAGTGGCGGAGTGCACTCGGGACGAGTGTCAACAGGACCGCCTCTTCCGGGGTGCGAGAGAGACAGAGCAACGGAACGGCTCTACGTCGGGCTGGCGCGGCAGGCGCGGCTGGCGCGGGCGGCTGCCTCGGTGATCGGAAGTTTAGGCCCCGGAGACTTTCCTAGTGTGGCGGCTGGTCTGCGGCCGTGGCTGTGCCTGGCTGTGCCTGGAGGGGGCAGGCACCGCTAGTCGTAAGCTGAGTCGACCTCCCTCCCCCCTCCCCCACTTCCCGTTCGAACGCACCATATACCTGCCACACGCCCTTCACGAGGGCCGGGAGGAACGCCCCCAGCGTCCAGCGTCCTGCCGCGTCCTGCAGGCCAGCGCGAGGCCGCCAGGCCGACTCAACCCAATTCAAGCTTCTCCCAAACGGCGTCCACGGCGTCACGCACCGAGTAGCTCGAGAACGACATTCAATTTCTGGTTTTACATAACGATTTAGTACTCGCCGTTTACGAGGGAACACGGCAGGTGGGACCGAAACGCCGTGTGGTTTGGAATACATTCTGCAGCGCCAGACCGCGACCACCGCAGCTCTCATGGCGGGGCAGTGCGGGCAGAGAGTGTCGCACGAAAATTGTCGGCTCTGGGAATCGAGAGGAGCTGTGCGAGGCAGAAGAGTGTGGTCTCTCTGGCGCCCTTGCCGGACGCACCGAGTGCGACGGAGACGGAGCGACGAGAGCGCTCCTCCGAGTCGCTCGGCTGATGGCTCGGGGGCTCGCACATTCGCGTCCGTCACGTGGAAGTCCGTCCCACCGGCCGGCGGCTCGTCTCGGCCCTCTCGGCCACGGCCGCCGTGGCGTGGCAGGTTAACGAGAGGAAGCGAGACGGCGAGATAAACTGCTCGAAATGGGAGAGGCGACGGCGGAAAAAGGGAGAAGGAGGACATGATGGCGTGTCGTTTGAACCTGACACGCTTCCCGCGCGGCCGCGGCGTCACGGCGGCACGGTCGGGAGCACGCCGTCGAGGCGAGCGACGCCGGGTCGCCGTCGTGGCGGAGTCCGAGTCCCCGAGGCGTCCAGCGCGGATCGGACGTAAAATCGATAAGGTTGATGCCACTCGACGCACTCCCCGTCGGGCAGGGCCGGCAGGGCCTCGAAGGGCACGGCCTCGAAGGGCGGGGCGGACTCTATGGCGGCCTGGCGGGAAGTCCCACCGCATCGGCTGCCCGGCGCGCCGGCCCCGCAGAGATAGCGCGCGCAGTTCGCACGGCACGGCGATCTGATGGTGGCCGAAAAGAGAAGCAAAAGCCAAGGCCGACAGGCCGGCCGATACTCACAGCGTGGTGTCTGGGATCGGCTTACTCCGCCTGCATCGCTCGAGTATCCATCCACTGCACTGCACCACGGCGTCAAGCGCGGCACGCACGCGGCACGCACGCCGTGCTCTCGGAGGGACCGGCACGGCACGACACTGCACGGACTCGGCGCGAGCTCGGACACCAACCGACTGGCGGCCAGGTAGAGGATGGGATGGATGGAGGAGGACTCAACAGTACAGCCGGGCCAGTAGCCGCCGCTACGGCCGCGCCGCGCCGCGCCGCGCGCCCTCTGGTGGACGGCGGGGCAGGCAAGCCGCGGCCGCGGGCGTGGAGTAGCGCCGCCGAGCGCCCGCCGTGCTCGCCGTGCTCGCCGCCTGCGATCCCGAGGGCAGCCAGCCCGCCGAACGGCCGTGCGTGGCGGGTGAGCCTACCCGCCAGGCGCTCCGGAGCGCGGCGCCGTTCTCCGGACACCCTTCCGGCTGCCGCGCCACTGCCAGTGGAAACAAGATTCGCGGCTTTCCGCTCTTTTTCGACTTTGGGGCGCCGTCCCTCGCCCTGCCCCAGATCACCACCCTCACCCCGGCTATCCGCTCTCGATCTGGTCTAAACGCGGATGGCGCCGAGTTTGACGAGCGCGCCACGCCGCCGCCCTTTCGCACTGTTATTGTTTGCCGAGGAGGCCGTGCTGGCCGTGCTGGCCGCGGGTGAGGGGTGGGGGTGTTTATTTTGGGGCGCGTCGTCCGGCAGCGTCCCGTGCGTCCCGCAGCCGCCGACGCGGTCCTCGCACTGACAGTCGCCTCGCCCTGCTCGCCGCGGGGAGCGCCGTCCTCAAGGGAGGAGTGCAGCGAGAGCGGTGGGCACCGCGGTGTATTCTGGGTGCGGGCGTCGCCGAGGCTTCGTCGCCGAGGGTTCGCGTCCACGGGGAAGCCGGCCGCGCCAGTGCCCGTGTCCACGCCGCGCAGAGCAGCACGCCGACTGCGGCCGACGGCGGTTCGGACACGTCGATGAGGTAAGTCGCCGATGCTGCCAAGGAGCCGCAAGTTATGAATGAGGATGTTCCGAGTAGCGCCGAGGACGTCCGCGTCGACGACGTTCGCCGGCGACGCGGGGCCGAAACGGGGTCGGCATGACACAGCCCCGGCGAGGTTAGACGCCCCAAACGTCAGTGGGGCAGGCTGATCCCGAACAGTGTCTCCGTCGCGATGTCTCTCTCGCACCCCCGCCAGACGCCGCACGAGTGCGAGGGAGACAGAGCGACTGCGGCCGGCCGTCCATTGCGAGGGTTGAGACGGCATTCACTCCCTTCCAGATGGGGTGGCTGTGGATCGCAGTGCTGGCCCTGCTGCTGGGGTGCGCAGCGGCCCCGGCCGAGGCTGACGGCGAGGACTACGACGCCAACGGCTACAACTACTACGGCTCCAGGGACCGCGGGGAGGACTTCCCGCCCCAGCAACTGCACCTCGGTGAGGAAAAAGTTATTTTACAAATACGTAAGGTAAGAGTTTTTTGGGGGTCGAGAGGATTTCTTTGTCCAATGCGTTTTTTAGGTGCGAGAGCGTATTCCTGCCGAATGCATTTCTTCGACTCGAGAGCATTTTCCCGAGAGGGTCGTAAACACCCTCGGATCATTGCCGCCTGCGCGAAAATGGCGCGCGAAGTTTATGTTCCGGAGCCGCATGCCTCTGGCGGGGCGGGGTGGGGCGGGGTGGGGCGGGGTGGGGCGGGGTGGGGCTAGGCGTCACGCGGGGGAGCGACGGGCCCTTTGTAGCCGACACGCAAAAGTGGCCCCGTCGTGTCGTGTCGCGGACCGCGGCGCGAACGCACGGCTAAAAATACCGGCCGCCGCCTCTTTTATTGTTTGATAATAGTCTGCACGTGATTCCCCATTGCCCCCTCCCCGGCGACCACCCACTGCAGGCACTCTGTAAAAAAAAGAGAAAATGGAAAAAAAAATAAGGCAGGTGCGGGGAGTTGAACCGCAGACCCCTGACTCGGGTTGCAGCGCGTCTACCGCCTCGGCTACGGCTCACATTGACCGTGTTGCAGCGGGGCTGTTCCACGACGACGAGTGGCAGGAGATCGTGGCGTTCCGCGCCGCCATCGACCGCGTCAACATGGACAAGACCATCCTGCCGGGCATCACGCTGGTGCCCGTCATCGAGGTGCTCAGCTCGGCGGACAGCTTCATCATGAGCAGGAAGGGTAAGCGAGCGCGGGGGTTTCGCGCCAATTTAAAACCTCGCCCACACTGCAAGTTTGTTCCGTTTTATTCCAGTGTGCAACCTGACGAGCAACGGCGTGGCCGCCATCTTCGGCCCCAAGAGCAAGGGCACCATGAACATCGTGTCCTCGATTGCGGAGACGCTGGAGATTCCGCACATCCTGACGCACCCGCCCTCCGTCAGGATCCCCAGCAAGATGCAAATCAACATCACTCCGGACCGCCAGAGTCTCTCCCAGGTGAGCCTTCGGGCAACCCTAAGAGCGACCCTAAGGGCAACCCTAAGGGTGGCAGGTGCTATACGAGTGTCGATATTCTTTTGGTGTGCAGGCCATCGTGGCGCTGCTGGAGGACATGGCCTGGAAGACCTTCACCATCGTCTACGAGGACGACGACGGCCTGTTCCGCCTGCAGGAGGTGCTCAAGGCCCACGGCCCGCAGGACAGCCCCGTCACGCTACGGCGCCTCGGGGAGGGGCCGGACTACCGGCCGCTGCTCAAGGAGATCCAGAACAGCTCCGAGACGCGCATCTTGCTGGACGTGTCGGCCGACCGGCTGCTGGACATCTTCCACCAGGCCAGGCAGGTCAAGCTGATGGGGGACTACATCAGCTACCTGGTCACGTCGCCGGTCAGTGTCCGGACGCCAGCACACCCCGAACGCGTGCCCCGCCGCCCCCAGTGTGCCAGAAGACCGCCGCAGGCGGCCAAAATTCTGGACGCGTTTTAAGCTCCAGAGTCGCTATGGGACTTGCACGGATCGTGTGACCCCATCAACGGATTGCTCTTCGAACGAGGAATCCATTGGTGGGGTCACACGTTCGGTTCGAGTCCCATTAAGCGACCCTGGAGCTCAAAACGCGTCTAGAGTTTCGGCTGCCTGCGGCGGTCTGTTGGCACACTGGGGCGGTCGCCACTGGCTGCTGCCAATTCTGGTGGTGTGGCTGTGCCGCAGGACGCGCACACCCTCAACTACGACGAGATCAACACGTGGGCCGAGAGGGAGGTGGGGCTGTCCAACATCACGGGCTTCCGCCTGGTGGACCCCAGCGCGGCGGACACGCAGAACGCCGTGCAGGACTGGATCTACAACGAGCGGCTGCGAGACAACGCCATCACCCTCACGCCGCGCGAGGTCAAGGTGAGTACACAGTGGATTTGCCAGAAGACCGGTGGAGGCGGCCAAAACTACACGCGTTTTGAGCTCCAGAGTTGCTAAATGGGACTCGGACCGAACGTGTGACCCCACCAACGTGCGATGGGCAGGCGGAATGGTTTTTGACGGTGGCGTGTCCACAGACGTCCTCGGCGCTCATCAGCGACGCCGTGCACATGTTCGCGCGCTCGCTGCACCTACTCAACAAGAAGCCGCCCTTCGTGGAGGAGAGGCCGCTGTCGTGCGAAGGCGTGGACAAGTGGGAGCACGGCCACCGCATCGTCTCCTTCATAAAGGCCGTGAGTAATGTCAGCAAGCTGGGCGTCGACCACCGCCGGTTCACGCAGTGTGTGCTCCTCCTCCCGGATTTCACAGTGCGCCTCCTCCTCCCGCAGAAGTACAGCGACCCGGACAACACGGAGCACGGCCTGACGGGGCCGCTGTGGCTGGACCCGGAGTCGGACCACCGGCGCACCAACTTCACGGTCTCCTTGGTGCAGACGACGAGCGACAACGCGACCGGCGTCTGGAACCGCTCCGGCATCCACCTGTTCCGCTCCGTGGAGGAGATGACCCGCTCCACCATGGAGCTGCTCTCCAAGAAGGAGATGCGCGTCGTGTCCAGGCTCGTGAGTGACGCGTTTTGAGCTCCAGAGTCGCTAAACAGGACTCGAAGCGAGCGTGTAACCCCACCAATAGATTGCTCTCCGTTCGAGGAATCCATTGGTGGGGTCACACGTTCGCTTCGAGGACCACTTAGCGACTCTGGAGCTGAAAACGCGTCTAGAGGTTTGGCCGCGTGGCCCACTGTGTGGCGGATCGTTGACGTGGCCGTCGTGGCGTCGCAGGGTGCGCCGTACCTCATGCTGCAGCCCAACTGCACCGAGGACTGCGGCAACGCGGGGCTTCGCGGCTACGCCGTGGACCTCATCGACGAGATCGCCAAGATGCTCAACTTCAAGTACCGCTTCTACCTGGCCAAGGACGGGCGGTACGGCAGCCTCAAGGACGGCCGCTGGGACGGCATCATCAAGGACCTCCTGGACCGGGTAAGCCTGCCGACCGGCCTGTGTGCAGCGCGTAGGAGTTTGGGGTTCGCTGACTGTCCTCCTCCCTCTGATCGCAGAAAGCCGACCTGGGCATCTGCGACCTGACGATAACGTACGACCGCGAGCGGGCGGTTGACTTCACCATGCCGTTCATGAACCTCGGTGAGTTTCTTCACCTCCTGTTCCGACTTTCGGATCTGGCGACGCCCCCGCTGACCCGTCGCTTCCGCCAGGCATCTCCATCCTGTACTCCAAGCCGCCGCCGAAGGAGCCCAACCTGTACTCGTTCCTGGAGCCGCTGTCCACGGAGGTGTGGATCTACAACGCCGCGGCCTTCCTGGGCGTGGGGCTGGTGCTCTTCGTGCTCGCCAGGTACACTCTTCAGTCCAAAGCGCAGACTTAGGCACCGAGTGTCAAAATGTCGGCCTGTGATTGGTCGGCAGCTGTCACACCCGTCGGCGCCCCCCTTGTATGCGCACGTGGACTCGTTGCGCCCCGACCACAACATTTGCCGAGGTGTGTCAGGGTCGTGACGCGCTCCGATGCCATTTACGTCCTTGTGCACAGATGTTCGAGGCCAATCACGTCATCGCACTCACTTTCGCAACTGCCAAAACAAATCCACTTTATTTTTAATTTATTTCTGTTTCAGAGTGACGCCGTGGGAGTGGGACAACCCGCACCCTTGCAACCCCGAGCCCGAGGAGCTCGAGAACACATTCACCCTGCTCAACAGCCTGTGGTTCGTCATGGGTTCCGTGCTGCAGCAGGGTTGTGACTTCTTGCCAAAGTCAGTACCAAAAACTTACTGTTATTTTTATTCAAAATTTTTTTAACTCGTGAGTGGTGGTGTTTGAACCCGGCACCCTGCGCGCAGGGCACCCTCGACGCGGATGGTGGCCGGCCTGTGGTGGTTCTTCACGCTCATCATGATCTCGTCGTACACCGCCAACCTGGCCGCCTTCCTGACGGCCGCCGGCATGAACACGGAGAACATCAACAGCGCCAAGGACCTGGCGGCGCAGAACAAAGTGGCCTACGGCTGCCTGGACGGCGGCTCCACCATGGCCTTCTTCGCGGTCAGCAAGAACAACGGCGCGACGCACAGTGGGCCGGAAGACCGGTGGAGGCGGCCAAAACTCATGACGCATTTTGAGCTCCAGAGTCGCTAAATGGGACTCAAACCGAACGTATGACCCCACCAATGGATTGCTCTCCGAACGAGGAATCCATTGGTGGGGTCACACGTTTGGTTCGAGTCCTGTTTAGCGACTCTGGAGCTCGAGACGCGTCTAGAGTTTTGGCCGCCTCCACCGGTCTTCTGGCCCGCTGTGCGACGCCGCTTCCGAAAACGTTTCGCACCCAAATCACTGATAACGGGTTTCCTTTTTCCCGGACAGAACTCCAACTCGTCCGACTACCAGCGCATGTGGGCCATTATGTCCGCGGCCAGGCCCAGCGTGTTCACCAAGAGCAACGACGAGGGCATGGACCGCGTGGCCAAGCCCAAGCGCGACTACGCCTTCTTCATGGAGTCCACCAGCATCGAGTACCAGTGCGAGCGCAACTGCAACCTGCAGATGGTGGGCGGCCAGCTGGATTCCAAGGGCTACGGCATCGCCATGCCCAGGAGTAGGTTTCGGACTAGGGAACGGCCTCCACTTTGAAAGCTCCGCAGCGAAAGCGGTTCAACCATGTCGCCTGTCTGTCTGGCCAGATTCGCCGTACCGGGCCGTCATCTCGGGCGCGGTGCTGAAGCTCCAGGAGTCCGGCAAGCTCGTCCAGCTCAAGGACTTGTGGTGGCGGCAGAACGACGGCGGCGGCATGTGCGGGGTAAAATGACATCCACCCCACCCCACCCACAAAAAAAACAACAAAAAAACAATAAACTGGGTTTGAACCCGCGCTACAGGAGAGTACTGGTGTGCGCAGGAAAGCGGGCCGGCGGACACCGACTCGCAGAAGCTGACCATGGGCCACGTGGGTGGCGTGTTCCTGGTGCTGACGTACGGCTGCGTGGGCGCCATCTTCATGGCCGTGGGCGAGTTTCTCTGGAACACGAGGGAGGTGGCCATCGACAACAAGGTTCGCCTGCCACTGGCTCCGCTTCGCCAGCTTCGCGCTGCGGCAGCTCGCCCTCTCACTCCGTGTTTGGCGTTCCAGATCAGCCCCAAGGAGGCCCTGATGAAGGAGGTGCGGTTCGCGGTCAACTGCAGCATCGAGAGCAAGCCCGTGAAGCACGCGCCGTCGACGGACAGCTCCAGCAGCGGCGGCAGCGACAGCGGCTCCACCGGCCTCGGCCGCTCCATCGCGCGCTCGCTCCTCCAACTCAACGCCTTCCAGCGGCTGGCGGGCGGCGAGAAGGAAAAGTGAAGTGTCCCATGTCGTCATGGCGGCGGAGAAAGAGTTTTCCGGAGTTTTCCCTTTTCACACGACTGGCGCATTTGTTTTGGTTTTTCTCGTACCGAGTTTTAGCGCATTTCTACCACCGTCCATACATTCCAAAGAAGGCTGTACCCTAAGCGACCGCCACAGATTTTAGAAAAGTAGATTAAATCTAGAGTATTTGTGTGGACAGTCGAGTTGTTCAATTCGAGACAAGTGTAACGTAGTTTTAAAAATGAGGCGTCGATTGTGGTGCAGTTGAAGGAGGAGACGAGTCAATATACAAGAAGACGTTCTTTAATTTAGTTGTTTCTCAATGACAATAAAGAACAGAAGTAATTTTGATTTCTTGATCACGTTTTTTTCACAAACGTGTGCGACATGCAAGATTTCATCGATGTTTACTAGAACTGGCGCTGAAGAGAGATCTCACCATTGAATTCACCCTGTCCGCCGAATTCAGCCTGTCCACCAAATCCACTCTGGGAACCACCCTCACGGCCAAATCCTACCTGACCCTGGAATCCACCCTGGGCACCACCCTGACCTCTGAAGACACCCTGACCCTGGGCACTTCCACGGCCGCCGAATCCTCCCTGACCCTGGGCACCACCCTGGCCTCCGAATCCACCCTGACCCTGGGCACCTCCCTGACCTCCGAATCCACCCTGACCCTGGGCACCTCCACGGCCGCCAAATCCACCCTGACCTCCGAATCCACCCCGACCCTGGGCACCTCCCTGGCCACCAAACCCACCCTGACCCTGAGCACCTCCACGGCCGCCGAATCCTCCCCGGCCTCCGAACCCACCCTGGCCCTGAGCACCTCCACGACCGCCGAATCCTCCCTGACCTCCGAACCCACCCTGACCCTGAGCACCTCCACGGCCACCGAATCCTCCCTGGCCTCCAAACCCACCCTGACCCTGAGCACCTCCACGGCCGCCGAATCTACCCTGACCCTGAGCGCCGCCCTGTCCTCCGAATCCACCCTGACCCTGGGCACCTCCCTGACCTCCGAACCCACCCTGACCCTGAGCGCCGCCCTGTCCACCGAATTCAGCCTCTACCTGAGCACTGCGGCCCTGTCGAGGACCCTGTTCTCCGCCCAAGCTAAGGCCGAAACTGGCACCCTGGGCACCACCCTGTCCTCCACGGCCACCGGCACTGATCTGAGCGCCGCCCTGGGCACCGCCCTGAGCACGGCGACCTGCTCCGCCCTGTCTCTGCCCCTGGTTTCCGATGCCGAAGCCCAGGCTGAATCCACCGCGTCCAGCTCCACCTTGGGCCTGACCCTGTCCGCCGGCGCCTCCACGGCCACCGGCACTGATCTGAGCACCACCCTGAGCGCCACCCTGGGCACGATCCTGAGCACGACCCTGAGCGCCACCCTGGATACGACCCTGAGCGCCACCCTGGGCACGACCCTGAGCACCACCCTGAGCGCCACCCTGGATACGACCCTGAGCGCCACCCTGGGCACGACCCTGGGCGCCACCCTGCGCACCACCCTCCGCACAACCCTGAGCGCCACCCTGGGCACCACCCTGGATACGACCCTGAGCGCCGCCCTGGGCACCACCCTCGGCACGACCCTGAGCGCCACCCTGGACACGACCCTGAGCGCCGCCCTGGGTACCACCCTGGATACGACCCTGAGCACCGCCCTGGGCACCACCTTGACGACCTGCTCCACCCTGGCTACCGAAGTCTAAACTAAATCCTCCGCGACCTCCTTGCTGGTTCTGGCCTCCCAGACCACCAGCAAGAGCCCCGATAGGGCTGAGTCCTCCACGGCCGCCGAGGCCGCCGCCGATGCGTCCCGCAAGGCCTCCGAGGATGGAGTCCTCCTCGCTGCTGCTGTCATCGTCGTCTCCAGAGATGAACCCTCGAACGGCACCGATGACGTTCCTGGCGGTGTTGACGCCACTGGCGATGTTCCTCGCGGCGTCGAGGCCACCAGAAAGTCCGCCGGAAAGTCCTTGGGCAAGGCCTCCACCGAGTCCTCCGCTGATTCTTCCAGCAATGCCTTCAGCGAGTCCGCTTGAGCTGCCCGATCCACCGACACGGCCGGCGATGCCACTAGCAATGTTCCTGGCCGCGTCGAGGCCACCAGAAAGTCCTCCGGCAAGGCTGCCAGATCCACTCGATCCGCCGCCGACACGGCCTGCGATGCCGCTAGCAATGTTCCTGGCCGCGTCGAGGCCACCAGAAAGTCCTCCGGCAAGGCTGCCAGATCCACTCGATCCGCCGCCGACACGACCGGCGATGCCGCTAGCAATGTTCCTGGCCGCGTCGAGGCCACCAGAAAGTCCTCCGGTAAGTCCGCTTGAGCTGCCCGATCCACCGACACGGCCGGCGATGCCGCTAGCAATGTTCCTGGCCGCGTCGAGGCCACCAGAAAGTCCTCCGGTAAGTCCGCTTGAGCTGCCCGATCCACCGACACGGCCGGCGATGCCGCTAGCAATGTTCCTGGCCGCGTCGAGGCCACCAGAAAGTCCTCCGGTAAGTCCGCTTGAGCTGCCCGATCCACCGACACGGCCGGCGATGCCGCTAGCAATGTTCCTGGCCGCGTCGAGGCCACCAGAAAGTCCTCCGGCAAGGCTGCCAGATCCACTCGATCCGCCGCCGACACGACCGGCGATGCCGCTAGCAATGTTCCTGGCCGCGTCGAGGCCACCAGAAAGTCCTCCGGTAAGTCCGCTTGAGCTGCCCGATCCACCAACACGGCCGGCGATGGCGCTAGCAATGTTCCTGACCGCGTCAAGACCACCAGAAAGTCCTCCGGCAAGGCTGCCAGATCCACTCGATCCGCCGCCGACACGGCCGGCGATGCCGCTGGCAATGTTCCTGGCCGCGTCGAGGCCACCGGAGAGTCCTCCCCCAAGGCCGCCAAAGAGGCCGCCAGAGAGGCCACCAGAAGTGCTGATCTGGCCGGCGAGGTTCCTGGAGGAGCTGAGGCGGCCGGCGATGTTCCTTGCGGCGCCGAGGGCGCTGCCGCTGCCGCCGCCGATGCTGAACTCCCCGGCGACGTCCCTCACGGAGCTGATGGAGCCCGCGATGTTCCTGGCGGTGTTGACGCCGTCCGCCACGGTGCTCGCGGCATCGCCGATGAGGCTACTGAGCTGTCCCTGGCACAGGGAAGCGCCTGCCACCAGGGCAAACTGCAGGCAGAAAGAAATTAGTGGTCCCTCCGCGGAAAAAGCGACGGCGAGCAAAGTACCAGTCGAGGAGCCCTACCAGGATGAGCGTCTTCGCCATTGCCAATTGATAACACTCGAATGATTGGAGATGACGAACTTGGGACTGCCTTTATACCGGCGTGTGGTTCGCCCCCGCGGCGTCATGCCCAGCAGAGCCGGCAGTGCCCAGACGCAATGGGTTCGTTTGCTCAGATGGTGCCGAGGACGTGAGCGCTTTCTATAGCATAGCATCATCGTTCAAGGAACGCGACGATTTACCTCAGCAAAGCATCATTCCGCATGTTATCCCATCCCAGCTTGCGTCATTGTTTTGACCAAGCCCAAATTATTAGCTTTTCTAGTTTTAAAAATATTACCAAAAAAAATCTTCTTTTTATAGGGAGCACATTTATCAAATCAGCCGAGCCGTGTAAAAGTTTAAAGAGGAACACAACATGTTCGTGGAACGTAAAAAGAAATAGAAAGAAAGCCGTTTTATTTTTCTGAATACTGGCACTGGCAACAATGGAGGGGAATATCGCAGAACGGATTCCAAGGGGAATACCCTGCGCTTCTGCGGCGCTGCGTCCACATTACCCCTTCTCCATCACTTTTCCAGAACACCAACGTAACGGGGCAACCTCAAAAAGTACCAAGGGTCTTTGGCTGTATATTCAGTTCAATAAATGTAATGCAGTATTTCCAGTTTCGTTTTTTACACTGCCGCATAGCCCTGTCAGTTAATTACTTGAAGCAGGCTGTTGATGGAAGGCGTCGTTTCACATGAGGTATTGGTAATGCCGACTCTGGCTCCACTCCTTGGGTCTTGCTGCGTCTGCCTGCACCCTGTTATCGGGCGCCTTTGCATTCCGTATTCCTTAGTGAGGCTTCCATTCAGCTTCACGACTTTCTGACGGACAGATTAACTGTTTTGGTTCTCTGTGAAACAACATGGACAACACTCGTAAGTTGCGATTCGGCGCCTGCTTCCCGGGCTGTTCCATTTGGTTTGAGTTAATGAGATCCCCATGTACAGGCTGGTATGCAGATTTGAGAAAATGTCGTCGCTGTGGCACGAGTAAGAAGCAAACCCTTGCCTGTTCGAGGTGCAAATCAGTCTACTACTGCTCTAAGGAGCACCAGATTGAAGACTGGAAAAGTCACCGTGACTCTTGTGGCTATTATAAAGTGTGTCGAGAACCCTCCAAACCGACATGTCTTGTTGCAACGAGAAAAATTCCAAAAGGGACCACAATTTTCAAATCAGAGGCCATAGCTATTGGACCAGTAAGTCAATGACCAGGAAGTCATAAAAGGAGAAAGCACCAGTATAGCATCTTGCATTAAATTATTGTATTGCAGACTGGCCTAGAGCCTGCATGTCTAGGCTGTTTACGGCCAATGATTTATGACGTCATGTCCTATCAGTGTGAGGGATGCGGCTGGCCCATTGATGTGCAATGCCAAAAATCACCTTTGCATCAATTAGAGTGCAGTGTATTACAAAATGCGGGCTTCAAATTTGATAAGGGTGTGTGTATATGATAATTCCATTTGTTTATAAGTCATATTCCTGGCTGATTGTTGGACTTAAATTTAATAATTTGCAGAAGCTTTTTTAAAGAAAGGAGGAGTGTGGAAGGACTCCTCTGTCTGGCGTGCAGACTTTAGATTTATTGGATTTAGTATGTTGGTGCTGAGGGTACTTCTTTCAAATAGAATGCCAAAGCTGCTGGAATTGGATGCTCCAGACAACCACAACGTCAGCCTTCATGCTGAACGCAGTCGAGCATTGTTAGAAGGAGTTTCCTTATTTATAAGGAATCATCTCAAACTTCAACAATATGACCATGACACTATATGCACTATAACCAAGGTGTTACAGCAAGCACTAGTTCCTGTTACAGTCTTGGATGACTGTTTCAGCCTCAATGAGCCAAGATGTGTAAGTAATTTTATTCTATTCAGCCCCTTTCTAAAATAAAAGTAACATCTCAAAAATTTTATAAAGAAAAATGTTGCCTTAAACAAATGTTTGTCTTTTTTTTTGTTTTTTTTTTGTTTTTTTTTTTGTTTGTTTTTTTTGTTTTGTGTGTGTTTTTAAAATATAGGCTTAATATTTTGCACAGATAATGTCATCTCTCTTCTTTTTATAGCAAACGTTTGTGAGCATGAGTTTGTTGTTTTCTAATTATGAGTTCTACGCTCTGCTATGGGAACTTGTGACTAGCAACTTTGCAACTTGTGTAAAAGTAAGGGTGAAAGATTTGCGATCCAGACTGCTGATTTTTTTCCTCCCTTTTGTTTCAGGGATATGGAGCCCATGATTCGGACGTTTATTACATGCAGCACTCTTGCTATCCTAATATACACATGTTAGAAACTTCAGCAGAGCCAACAATTACATATGCTATAGCAAATGTTGACATAGAGCCTGGAGATAAACTGACAGTAAATAAATTTTGTTGTAACTTAATGGTCTCAACCTGGACAAGACAACTGAATTATGTATCGCTCACTCAGAACCCATGTACTTGTGAACGATGTATGGATCCAACAGAACTGGGCCTGCACCTTGGTTCTGTGACTTGCAAGAAATGCTTTGGTACGTTTTGTTAGCAGTGGTTGAGCAGCTGTCAAATGTGTATGGTTTGACTTTCTGCGTTTTCTTTTTCACAGCTATGACAACTCCAAACACCAAAGATTGGGGAAAATGCAATAAATGTGGATACTCAATGACACCTGGTGATGTGGGCCCAATTGCTTTTGAGTTCACGAAGAGCTTTGCTGCTTGTAAGGAACCAAATGACTTTGTAAAATTGATTGATACATACAGTGGGCCTGAAGACCTGTTTCACCCCAATCATGGCCTCATACTTTCGGCAAAAGAGGCATATTGTCAGTCAATTCACACGAATTCCTTGAATAAAGGTGCTGCTTTTGAATTGGGTAAGAAATCATTTACCTCAAATGTGCAGCTCCTCATTTGTTTTTGGCTTTGAGCTTTTGCCAGTATTTTATTCTGTTTTCATAGGTTCTAGAGACCGGGATCAGTTCTATAACTACACAAAAGATTTGACAGCTGTAAGTGCCAAATTGAAAATGGCTCAAAGGGAAGATCTGTTGTACATTCGCTGGCTGGAAGTCCATTCCAGATATATCATTCGCCAGTGGTTTGTAGGTAATATTACAAATGTAGAAGCTCAGGTGGGTTTAACCTAATTATAGAATTTGTGTTGTGTGTTTGCTCCATAATTATGATCGTTGAAAACAATGGACTTTCCTTACAGGATTTAATCAAACTATTAATGGTGGAATACAGGGAAAAGGGATTGGCAAAACCAGCTCACCGCTTCACCGAGCTACTACATCGGAATATGACTATAGAGATCCATAATCATCTCGTTAGACTGCAAATTGCGGAAAGAGACAAAGAAGATTAGGGAGCCCAACCATTCCATTTCAAGCTCATGCTAGTTGCAGTTGATAAGTTGCCTTTGTATATCGTAAGTCCATAAGGTTTAATTGATAATGTTGTGATTCTGTGAAAATATACTGCATTTGTGGCTGCAAATGAGTTGGGAATCGGAGTAACAAAATAATAAATCAGTTAAAACAGTTTTTTTTTATTTCTGTGGATAAACAATGTTTGTTTTCCCAAAACAATGTATTGTCTTTTATAGTATCTTATGGGAAAAGAGTAGGGCATAGGAGTACATTTTAGACAGCTTTCACTTACATGTACATACAAAGCATAACATTAGGGACGTCAATTTTATCTCACAAGTATTAGTGTAATGTGAGGCAAGAACTGGAACAAATGGAATGTCAATAACTATTTTGTGAACCCTTATTCAGAAAGCGTGCTTGAATTATTGTACAGTGCCCACAGAGCTCCAGCCCAGGGACTTATTGTACTGCTCTTTTATTGTTCTGAACAACATTAAATTTTCTACTTAAAGTAAGCCTGTTCGATACTCGGACTCTGTCTTACGTTACTGAAATCCATCATTCCAACACAACATGTTTCTGTACATCACAATGACTGTATTCACATCCCCAAGTTTGTATGATATAAAGCCAATGTCAAGTAAAGCACCTCAAGTCATGGGACTGGCGACAGTATGGAGACATGCCAGCAGGTAGCTTAAGAAAGGAGTCTCTCATTGAACTCCACAGTTGATTGAGACTAACCTTTGGGATTTTTAGATAAGTGAATAAACTTAAACCTGAGTGTTGAATGCCTGAGGCAGATTTTCTATTTCACACAGGCTGTGCTGGACTGAGAAAGATCCCATGACACAGAAAACAGTAAACATGGCATTTATTTCTGTGCATTCATATTAATACAATCAATATAAACTTAATTACATTAAATACTTTCCTCTCACTATATATTTCAACTCTCAAAACACATTTAGGAGACTATTCGACTAAAAACAAACAAATTAAATGATATACAATACCCCACCAGATGGTGCGGCATAACAGAACAATGATCCACAATAAGCTATTGCTTTGGTAAGATAAAGGAGTCTTGATTATGTTTTGATACAGCACAAATTAAAGGGCTCAAAGTCCCTGTGGTAAAGGGCTGGCATTTGCTCTGCAACCAAAGCTTATCCTGCACTGAAATACTAACTTTGTCTGCCATTTTTTCTCATGATTAACATGGGCAGGAGAGAAAAAAAAGTACATGTTGACTGTTATTAGCTAAGATGTCTTTTGTAAAACACCATCAGACTCAATGGGAAGGAAGGGGGTATTGCCTCCAATTTTAAATGTTACCCTGTAAATTAAACTACAAGGCAGGACTAAGAAGAGCCTAAACAACAGAGAATCAATCTAGAACTTTGCTCCACACTCCTTCAAAATGAAATTCAATGATTGGTGTTACAGAATATATGGTCCCAGTCACTTCAGTATTGAGTGACAGAAGAGAACATTTGGGAACAAATTTTATATTCTTTTTCCAGAACATTCATATGAAACTAATTGGTTCGTGCAAAGAGTACATGCAAAACCGTAATTTATAGATGAACAACATAAAAATAGTTCAGGTAGTTGGAAAAAATTGATAATAAAGAAGCAACAATACCCTCCCTTTATCTTCCTGGCTGCTAGTCAACAAACCTACTAATAGTAGATGTCAGTTCAAACATGATTTGAAAGATAACAAAATCTACAATTTTTAATAAATTAACATTTCAATTTAAGACAGTGCAGGATTTACCCTCAACGGAAAACTAGACTAGATACACTTCACATTCTCTCAGTTCCACTTGCTCATACACACACATACACTCACACAAACACACATATGCGCAAATGGCACAAGCCAAACGATTAAAAGAAAATGCAAGAAACCGTTTCCAACAGGGGCTAGTAGTTCATCTCCACTAAAATTTTCAATCAATCAATAAGTAATTTTTTGACAAGTGTGCAATTTGAAAAGTGAAGAGTGTGTTGATCCACACAACAGAGGTCAGTCGCTTTAAAATAAAACGCAATCTGCGTAAATGAAGTGAAAATACAAACAAAGAAAATCACTGATAAGGAGACATGAGAGGTACTTTGTCCTGTCTTTCGAATTAGCATGTTGATTACTGATGGTTAATGTTTCATTGCAATGACTATCAATTTACCTAAACTTACAGCTCACACAATAAAATGCAGTAACAGGTTTTAAGTGAAAGCAATAAAAATGATCATTTAAAGCCATTGTGTAGTAAGGAACTCCAATTAATTAGTGTACCACTAAATTGTGGCATAATTATTACCAACTCCACTAAGAATTTAAGTTAATTCCGATATATTTTCAGAGGAGATAGGATGTTGAATAACTCTGAGGCTCAATACAAAGTTTAAGTAAGATGCACGGTGAGTTAGTATCAACTCCGTTTCTTTAATTGCTATCTAACAACCAAAAGCTTTGCAACAAACATCAAGAACACATCTCATAAAATATTGTCGTCATGAAACTGTACAAATTGAAAGTGCCTAGTATGCTGACAAAGCTACAAAGCTAACTCCTTAACTACACAATTCTACTATATCATTTCTCAATTCTCTGATAGAAGGGACAAAAATATTGAATATCCTAAAACATGAAGCTTTGTCATTAAAGATGTGGAAAATATGCAAGAAATCAGCTGAGGGATTTACTTGCAAAACTGACGTCTTCAAAATTAAATTATGGCATTAGAAGACACAATGTGTGTCAGGGGGTGGGTTCTTGCCACGTAACAATATTTTCATTAAAATGTTCAACACACATAATCTCTAAATTTAGCACTGCTTCTCATTGACTTAATTTTATTGTAGCATCATAAAACATTATATAGCCATTTATTTGACAACAAATTGTTTATTATTAACAGTGATTTAAGAATTATGATGTATCACTTGTCTCTACAAGTCTGATCAAAGTTACACTTTAATTTAAGATCCAATAGAGGCAGAGGTCACCTCATATGTATCTTGCAGGTATGGCTCCTGTTGGAGGTGGTTCTCATGCAACTTTCAGAAGTCCTCATTATAAAAATAACAAGATTTAGGAGGTGTGAGGACTCCAATACTTGTTAATAACTTAATATTTAGAAACAATGGCATAACTTCAGGTCATAATAAATAAAATCATATATAATCACAGGTGAATGTGCCACTTTAAAGACAATAAAACCCCAAGCACATTTAATGGGAACTTCTAGCTCCCAATTTTAAGATGGTATGGTATAATACATCCTAACCTAATCAATTTCTGTTTAGCACTCGGCAAAATTGCTAACAGCACTGAAGAATGCACATTGAGAACATCAATCTATAAAACAAACATGAAAGTGAGCATTATGAAGCTGTCTCTCTTTAACTGTAAACCAATACCTTCTTGAGCACATATAAACAAATGAAAAATAAAATTGCTTCAATACTAAGTACTGTGGAATGAAAAACGCTCTCCAAGCACAAAATTTACAAGAAATTTTTTTCTTGTTGTTGGGGCATTTACATTGCAAGAAGGAATACTCTACACTAAATAATAGACTAGGGCCCTCTATTCAAAGGTAAGATAAACAACGAAAAAAGTACAACTCTAAACATCTTAAATCACGTTCCACATTTTGTAAGCTCAGAATACTTTAAAACTTACAATAATATTCTAGATATTCACTACCCATACAACAAAACCTTGTGTTTAGGACCGTAGAAAGGTACTGGTTTATGTTAATACTGCACCATGGAATTTATGTCCATTGGCATCACATTCATATCTTTTAAGGTATAAGACAAAATTAAATTAAAAATAGTGAATCTTATAAAATTTTCCAAAGGTGACTTCTAAGGGCCATAGACTTTTAAGGTGTCCATTTCATACATAAATTAAAAACAAGGACCATGTCATTAATACAAGCTCTGTACTATAGAGCACTCTCTTTCCGGGAGCTGTCGAACCTTCATGGATCCATCTGCTCCACATGAAAAGAGACGACCACATCCGTCAACTTTCAGTTGTGTCACCCCTTGACCAATATTTTTGAAGAAACTGGACCGTGCATGTTCTCCAGGGAAATTGTACAGCTGTTGATGAACTGATAAGCCCCAAACCTGTCAAATGAACCGCAAAAAATTTATGAGAAAAATGAGCAATGTAATAATTGTGTTACAAAATAAACATTACAGGAATAATAACCAAACAGACCTTAATATCTCCATCAGCAGACCCTGTCACAAAGAATTCTTCACCAGGATCTATAGCAAGGCACTTCACAGCAGAGTCATGAGCTTGGAAGCGGTGTCTCATCACCCTTTGACGAACATCAAATATACAAACATCTCCTTTCTTGCCAGCAGAAATTAAAAGTTGGTGTTGAGGTGCATACACAAGACTTGAAGCTCCTTGGTCATGGCAGTTGAAAACTGGAAATTTTTTAGAGTACAATGAGAATTATTGCACACAAGTAGAAAGACTAAAATTAAAATACAACACAATTACTCTACCTGCAAGGAGCGATTTCTTTTGAGGTAAGAGGGTATCCCATAACGCAACGTTTTTACTTTCAGAGCTGTGACCAGCCGTTGCAACCAAACTGCATGCTCCAAGGAACACAAAATCGCTTGTCACCTTACTATGACATTGGTAAGTCTGTGATGATGGAAATAAATAAGTTACAACACTATAAAAGGAAGATAACAAAAGAAGTTAATTCTTAGGAGAGCTACTTACAAAGAATGGTCTGCTGGCATTAGATTGAAGTCCAATTTGCCACAGACTGAGATTTCCATCACCATCGGCAACCCCAAATTTATTCCCGTGTTCAGAAAATCGGACTCGAGTAACCTTCGCAAACGTGCCGGGAGACCGAGGAACGGAAACAGGTTGTGAATGACCCCATTCCCACATTTGCACGGAACCATCTTGAGATCCGGTAAGGTCTGCGACAGATCAATAACCACAATTACATACAGACAAAGCCAAAGGGAATAACATGGAGACGTAAGCGGAGGCCGGAGGGCACTGTAACCCACTGTCTGTGAGTGTACGAACATAGTTTGTACTTACACAAAGGAAGCAAAGGATGGGCACTCAGTCTGCGTATTCCATCCACCTTGTGTTTCATCACCTGTTAAAGCAGAGACAAAACCAATTAATTACAAACAATGTTTTTTTTTTTAAATGAGGTTAATTATTTAGAGACCTGAAGTAGCCTTATTGTTTCTTTGAAAGCAAGTAGCAAGAGATTTCATTAATGACAAGAATAGAAGGATCTGACATGTAACACCATACATGAAAGTCACAGAAGCATGCTATAATCCACTCATATAAAGTAAACGGCAAGAAACAAAGAGACCACATCATGCGCTGAAAATGCAAAATATGGAAAATCAGTGCTGTATTTGTTATATGTTAGGCTAGAGAAGCAAACAAATCGTAGGAAATACTTCAATACTTCGGAAGCATATTGGGAACTAATATCAGTACATACTAAAAACAATGCAAACATAATCTGTCTGATACTAACTAAATACTGAAACAGAGGAAAAACGGGCACTAACATGAAGCTTCCTACTCTCAGCAACCTTTCAATTTTAGTTTATTTGTTTGATAAAACTACCACAAAATTAAATTAAAATTAAATTATTAAATGCTAAAAAAAAATCTACAGCAGTGTTCAAATAACAAGGGACAAAAAAAGAAGACATCCAGCAGGAGAGCATGCTGTTCTCTATCTTGAAAATGTCAAACTGAGAAATAAATGTGGAGAAAAATAAATTAAAATATGGCATTAATTACAAATAGCCCCAAAAATGAGACACAGGAGACAAGACAGTAATGAAATAATAATAATGAATTAAAATATGAACAAGTAAAAAAAGCCAGGCACTACATATATTTAACCCTCACCGGTTTCAATAAGTGTCGACTACGGTCGATCACGAACTGACAAAACTTGGGGTCATGAGACCCTGGGAAGTTGAGGCCCTTCATCTGTGACCCAGCATGTATCAGACAAGCAGGAAAGACATGAGTAAAATGTTGCATTTTCATTCTTAAAAAAAATCCTAAGAGGAATGAAGCTGAGGAACAAGACACTTCTTAAGACTAAAACTGGAATACTGATAAGATATCCCACATCGGTTGAGTCATTAAAAAGCTTTAGTAAAATAATCATCACACCACAAATAATTTCTTGTTTTGAAAAATTAAGATTTAAAACAAGTTGGTTGAAGATGTTGCAGATGCCTATAAAATCTACATCTCTCAAAGACTGGATGCCAGATAGTATCCCCTTCACACCTCCTCCACCTGAGTAGCCAAACACAACACACAGAGACACTCTCACACAAACACGCCGGGGAGTAAGCCTCAGAAAACCCGTCCCATTCCCCATCATGTTTGCAAGCATAAAGTGATGGGACTCAATGACACAGCTGGCTTTAATCAACTCACTGATGGCAAGTTGAATCAAAGCAAGAATTAAGGCACAAGCAAAAATCTCACCACAGAAGCTCCACGACCCGACTGCCCTGCAATGCCAGGCTGAGGACTCGCTGGCTGCTGGTAGTTCTGAATGGCTGGAGACGTCTGAGCCAAGTGAGGCCTGTCAGCAGCTGTTTGGATTACAAGGAAACTGGACTGCGGAAGAGTTTCAGGTTCCCTGCAAAACAAATAATTAGAAACTCAAATTAGCACAAAATGCCAGATAGGAAGCAAGAACTGTAAAACTCAGTTCAGTATTACGCACTTGTTCAGATTTATAATATCAAATTCACATTCATCCTCTAGCCATGACGGGAGCTCTAGCAAGAGTGAAATATCCATTTCTTGTACTTCTCTGGGTGTTGCAAGGGCTAGTAAACCAGCATTGACCTGCAGATAGAAAATTGTACACATGAGAAGACAAAGAAAGAGAGACAGAAAAAAGCAGTAATAATGAGAATAAAGTCTAAATGACATACCTGGTTGAGGCAGAAAGCAGAAATGGAATCCTGCTCTTTATGAATAATACGAACAGGTTCAGGCAAAGGATTGCCAGCATGATCGACAGTTGTTCCTTTATTGTCATCCGAAGAATTGCCACCACCTCGTAGGGCAGGGCTTCCATCATTAACATGGTGGCCACCATCAAGAAGCGTCGACATTGACCTTTTCTTTCCAAAGACACATCGAATAAAGATTTCTTGGACTGGCTCTTGTCTCACAAGGAAGCTCCACAAGCGTCGAGCAGGAGCTGCTGAGATGTGGCGAGGGCTAAGGAAATAATAGAACATTTCATTACAAAACCATTCATTTCTATAAACATTACGAAGCCGTTAGATGGGTGGGAACTTACTGGAATGGAGTGTTACATTTGTCTAAGAGAGAGCGGTACTTGTGAATAGCTGGGCCAGTAGCTGAGGATTCCACATAGCATCCAGGGATATAATCAATTGGAGCTGGCCCCCTAGTTTCAAGCTCATCTCTCAAAGAGTCAACCCACTGGTTCACAGAGCGAAGCACTCCATGTATGAGTGGACTGCACACGGGTAGCTCTAAAGGAAAGAAGGAAGTAGAAATTAAAGTACTTGCAGAGAAAAAAGATATTAAACTGTAGTAATGCTGAAGTAAATGAAATAAGGCTCTCACCCTGTAGCTCTATGCCAGCAACATTTAAGAACTCTTGGAGTTGGCACTGGACAATTTTCATGACAGCAAGTCGAAGAACACACCAACTGTAAGAATTGGGATTAGAGTGCTCTACATTCTCTCTTTCTTTATTCTTTCGCTTTTCTTTCTGTGTAGCGCTTGTCCCATCAAAAATGTTGTCGTCATCTTCATCCTCAGTTTCACTTAAGTCACTGACAGCAGAATCTGCAGAATCATAGTCGACTTCATCTGCATCTTCTGTTGCTTGAGGCTAAAATTTACAAGAAAAATTTTCAAACATTAGAAATAAGTATGAAGAGTCAACTAGGAAGAAACATTTTAAAAATTTTACCTTGTTCAGGAAGTATGAAAGCATTGACATTTCAGGCGAAACAAATTGTTCTCGGTATGTAGGCTTGTCTTCTTTCATTTGAGGAGTTCCAGACTGACTGCCAAACTGACCCAGAAGTTTCATGTTCAATCGAGCTCTTTGCTTGGTGATTGAAGTCCATACACTACCTTCACTAGAAACACTTTGTTCTCTTTCCAGACTAGTGTTGGTACTTCCAGCAGACTGCATAAAAACCATAGAAAAAACATTGAAAAATTGCTAGACAAAAGTTTATGCTAAGAGATAAATTTACTAGAACTTACATGGGTAGATGTGCTCTGTGCCACTCTTAGCAATTTTTTCACGCCACCTCCAAACAGTGTAGCCCAGGTAAGGTTTGAGAAATTTTGACCAGCAAGGCGGTAGAGAATATGTGAATCACAAGTTGCAGTAGCATAGGTAATCAAGCTCATGTATGTAGCAACAAATGTCTCGCAAAGCAAAATGTTCAGCCGAGGTGTATCCTCATCCTTGTCTCGAGCCAGCAAAGCTCGTAAATTGGTGACACCAGGCCATTTGGATGGAACAGTCGTTACTTGCAACGGTTCATCAGTGGAGTATCTCCTTCGCCTTGTGTGGCCTGCTATCAGATGGCTATTAGGATACACCACATTCAGTCTGGCCAAGGTTTCCATTCCTGTGCTTTGGAACGTGTCTGTATGATGCTTGACACTAAATGTGTCTGAATCGCAAAGTGATTGGTAGATGCAGGCAGACAAAGCAACAGAGAGATCTCGCAGCACAAATACATGGCTAAATTTGGCCCGAGTTAGCATTGGAGGGTTACGGAAATCAATGATGGTTTGCAACATATCATGAGCCTGGGCCTGGAAATCAAAATGTGAGTGAGATATGTGAAATTGGCAGAGAAAGAGCGACACTGATAGTTCCATACACAAACCTGTAAATGCCGCACTGGATCAGCAACAACAGTTTTGTTACAGGCAACACTAGCAGAGAGAAGAGGCAGAGTGGTGGGGAAGGGCAATGGGGACAGAAGCTGCTGCTGTGTCTTCTCTTGCTGTAATTCTTGAAGCAATAAAACTAATTCCATTCGAACAGATGCTAGGCCACCTCCACTAGCTCCGTGTAAACTGCAGTAACTCAACAGGGTACGCAGCAAGGTCTCATTAGCTGCAGGCAGATAAGCACAATAAACCAGGTCAAGTTTGTGAAAATTATAAATGTCAGAGTGTCATGCAGTGTAATATATTCTACAAACCTTTGAGCCAGCGTTTCCTCTTTGCAGCTCTTTGAACTTTAGCTTCAAAATCTAATTTTTCTGCCATCAGAATCTCATGAAGTGTTGGCTTCTCCCCAGGTCTCATCATTGTGGGAGTACTGGTGTAGTCTCGCGCATCATAAGGATCTCCCATTTCATCTGCCGGGACAAGATAAAACATACATTGCAACGATTCCCCGCATGGGCCACCACACTGAGTCAAGTAAGTTGATGCAAACTTACAATCGCTTGGCGCCAAAGGCTCTCCATCACCGGAACTGTAATTACACAGCTGTCTGAGCGCCTCCACTTCCCTCTCCAGCCAAACATAGAGTTGATAGCGCAGCTGCCCGCCGTCCACCTCAAACCCAGTTGCGAGGGTGGACAGCTCTTCCATGAGTATTTTGAGGCATGCCACAAACTTGAGCTGCTGGGCCATGATGTCCAAGGTACCTCCCCTGCTCACGTCTTCATCTGAAAGCAAAGGCAGGCCGTAGAGCACGGGCTGTAAGAAGACAAGTCAAACAAAAAGGACTCCATTTAAGAGTCGCTGTCAACAACGCACTCTGGGCGACGGGCTCGGCGGGAGTGGCGACGGCCGGCTTCATCTCGATGGGCTTGCTCGCTTCCTCGTCCTCGTCCTCCTCCTCCTTGTCGTCTCCCCAGTCCAGGACCAGCTCGTCGTCCTTCTTGATGACGGGCTGCGACCAGTCGAACTCCAGCGAGCTCTCCGCGGCGGCCGACGCAGCTGCAGGCGAAGAGAGACGCCTTTAGGTTGCAGCCAGGCCGAGCAGAACCAGTGCTGGACCCCCAGTCCTCGGTACTCACGCTTGGACGCCGAGACGGGCTCGCCCCAGTCGAGTGTGCCGGTGTCGATCCTCGAGTCGGTGACGCGCGTCTTGCTCGGGCTGTTGAGCAGGCCTGGAATGGCGAATGCAAACAAAGTGGTGAGCAAGGGTCGCGCGTTCGAGCCCCGGCAGGGCCTTTATTTTTGACAGGGTCCAGGAAGGCGGAACGCGCCCGTGGAGCCGCGGCCTCGCCGAAGTCATGACGCGCATGCCAATCGAAGCGAGATAGAAAGACTGAAGAGGAGGGGGCGCGTTCAGGCCGCGTCGTCGGCCGCTGCGGAGCGCCGCGCGGGTAGGCAACCGCGCGCCCGCGCGCCGCCGTGCAGGGGGGTTGCCTACCGGCAGTCCGCAGGCTGACCCATTGCTGGACACCGGACGGACATCCAGCACACCCCAAGGCCGGCAGGCAACCGCCGCGGCGCTGCTTGGCAGTCAGTCACGGGGAAGGGGCCCCGCCCCGCACGGCCGGCCCGGCACGGCCCCGCACGCGGCGCGCCCGGGGCAAGCACCTCCGCGTCCTCGCCGTCCTCGCCCTTCCACCACCGCGGCGTGGAGGCGAGGCGGCGCAGCGGCGCGGCCAAGCCCCTCTTCCTCTTCTTCCCCGATCCGACTTTCCAGGCCGAGTGGCATTCCCTTCCCTCGCAACCGCGGCGAGTGCACCGACTGCACTGCCCCATCGGCCCTTCCCTTCGCTCCGGTGCTTCGGTCCGGAGGCTGCACTGCAACCGGCAGGCCCTGCAGGCCGGGCGGTCAGGAAGCGGGGCCGCTGCAGCGCTAACGCCATCATCATCGCCACGCCGCCACGCCGCAATCCGCTGCTTTGGAATCGGCCACGGCGGCCACGGCGGAGCGAATCCGCGCACCGCGTGTCTGTCTGTCTGTCCAGCAACCACTTTATTATTGTCACTCGGGCAGGCTCAACAGAAGAGCCACGGGCAGGGCGCGAGGCGCGAGGCGTGTGAAACTGAAATCGCCTCTCCCACTGACTGGAGCTGGAGGCAAGGCACGCCGAGGCGTCCGGCCGCCGCGCGCTCGCGAGAGGGAGACAGCCAGACCCAGAGAGGGAGGCGCTGTGGCGGTAGGTCAGTCTAGCGAGCGCGGCTCGCGGTTCGCGGCCTCAGTCGGCAGCAAGTGGTGGTGGCGACGCGACACCAGGGGAGCCAGCCGCGACCCGCCACAGCGCCCCGCCACAGCGCCCCGCCACAGCGCCCCGCCACAGCGCCCCGCCACAGCGCTCCGCCATGTCCAAGCCCAGGGTGGTCAACGTCGACGACGAGCTCGAAAAGAACCCCAAGATCAAGCGAGAGCACCTGGACCAGTTCCGGTCATGGGTCCAGAAACAACCCCACCTGCCAGAAGTGCCAGGTAAGAGCGTTGCTAACGTTGCTCCATCTTTGCGTGCCTAATGCACGAATAACGCAGGCACTAAAAAGCCAGTAAGAACTTGGAGCTGTCGGCGGGGCTCCAAGAACCGCGGCTTCGCGCGCCGCGTCTCCACTGGAGGAGCCAGCTTGCATTTTCATGAGCCTCTTTTGTGCGCCACGCCGGCCAAGCCTACTAAGTCGTCCCTCCACGCTCGTGCACTTGCAGACCAGCAGCTGCTACTGTTCCTGGCGTGCAGCGACTGCCTGATGGAGCGCGCCAAGGCGACGCTCGAGGCCCACTACACCATCAAGACGCACGCGCCGGAGTTCTTCGCCCACCGCGACCCCATGGGCACCGAGATCCAGAACATCCTTAACCTCGTGTGAGTCGACAAGTCAAGTGAACGCCGTGCCCCAACCAGCTGGCCAGGGCGGCTGGGCTGACAGAACCCGGCCCATTCCGTCCCTGACCAGCACGGCCGACAGGGTGCCAGCTCCTGGATACTGGTTGGCAGCTAACCAGACGGAATTTCAGTGAGTTGGCCACCCTGAATTTTCGAATTTTGCCGCCACAAGCGTTTCCTCCGCGCGCCTCGTGCTCCCCGAGTTTCCTTGTTCCCGGCCAATACGCCAGTTCGGTGCTCCACGGTGTTCCCGTCTCCCGGTTGCGCAAGTCTCCTGCACTGCAAACACCAGCACACACTCACACCACCACGCGCCGGCATAAAGGCCGGTACAGCTCCACCGAGTCCCTCATGACTGGCATAGAATGCTCTCCGCGCTAGAGAAAGTGCCACCCCCCCCCCCTCTTCCCTTCCAGGCGAACCTCCTCCGAGCCTTGTCCAGGCCCTGGCCTGCCCAACACTAGCCGTGCCCGGAGAGGTGCATTGCACCCGGCCGGAGCCTGGAGCGGAGCCTGGAGCGGGGCCTGGAGCCCGGACTCTGGAGGGGACGCGGCAGAGCCGCCTGGAGAGGAGGCAAACGGGTCGCGTTTTGGCAGGCCGCTCTGGGTCAGTGCGGTGAGCTCATTGGCGGTGGTTCGCGTCACTAGGTCGCCGTTGGCGCCGTGGGCCAAGTTTCGTAGCGCCCGGTCCATGTCTGGTCCATCCGGCCAGTGGCATAACTGCTGCCGAACAGCCGCGAGCCACGTTTTGGCGGTTCGGATTCGGAGCGCCTCGCCGCGGCTCGCCTCGGCTAGACGTCTGGACCTGCCACCGCCGCGGTCACCGCCCACCACCGACCGGCTGCGGCGCGCTGCGGCGGCCCAAACAGTGAGGACGCGAAAGAGCGCCGCGCCGGCCTCGGCTGCCTCGGCCGTGGATGGGGAAATGGCAAACGTGTTGTGCGACGGAAAAGACCCCCTAGGCCCCCCTAGGCCGGCGCGGGCCGTGGGGTTGGCGGCCAGGCCGGGGTCTCTCGCGCGCGGAGTAGCGATGGACCCATTCTGCGGCCGGCGATAGCAGTGCAGCAGCGCGGGTATGGCACGCCGCAGGTGTGATAAAATCGGGCGGCGTACCGCGGCGTGCGGCACGAACGCCAAAACCGAGACCGACCTCGGCGGGCACGGCCACGCCACTGGCCACACCGGCCCTTGGCTCGGCTTGGCTCAGCTTGGCTTGGCCCGGCTAAGCCGAAGGGCACAAACAGCGGTACAGCCGGTCGCAAAAGCAACGCGCCAAGGGACCGGGCCGCTCAGGCTGGCCGGCGTCTCTGGCGAGGCGCGTGGCGCAACGCAGGGTCATTTCTTTCTGCGGCTGATTACACACTGCTACACTGGAAGCCGGCCGCGGCGCGGCGCGGCGACGGCGAGCCGAGCGCCCTTGGTCGCAGCGCCTTGCGGCTCGCCTCGCAGAAACTAGTTTCACCTGAGACAATGCGCGGCCGACCGTCTCTCTCGACGCCTCGTGGGTGCGAGAGAGACAGCCGACTGACTGCCCCTCCCTCGCAGTGAGATGGCCATCCTGCCGGAGCCCGACAAGCACGGCAACCGCATCTTCATCGGGCGCCTGTCCAACCCGGACCCCACGCACTACAACTTCACGGCGGCCGTCAAGGCCATGCAGCTCATCATCGAGACCAGCCTGCGCGAGGAGGGCATCGCGCCGGGCTACGTCTTCGTCTACGACCAGAAGGGCGTGCAGATGGGCCACGTGGTGCGCATGCCCGTCTCCTCGGTGCGCAAGTACCTGCACTACATCCAGGTGGGCGTCGTCACACAGTGGGCCAGAAGACCGGTGGAGGCGGTCAAAACTCTAGACGCCTTTTGAGCTCCAGAGTCGCTAAACAGGACTCGAAACGAACGTGTGACCCCACCAATGGATTCCTCGTTCGGAGAGCAGTCAGTCGGTGGGGTCACACGTTCGGTTCGAGTCCCATTCAGCGACTATGGAGCTCAAAACGCGTCTAGAATTTTGGCCACCTCCACCGGTCTTCTGGTCCACTGTGCGTTATCACGTGCCTCACGTCGCACGTCCACCACGTAACTAACGCGTGTCCCTGTTGCAGGAAGGGCTGGCCATCAAGATGAAGGCCATCCACGTCATCAACATGAACCCCGTAGGCGAGCGCTTCCTCAACGTGCTCAAGCCCTTCATGAAGAAGGACCTCTTCAACATGGTGCGTGCCGGCGGCCGTATTTTCACGTCGTTCCCGTTCCGCGCCCTCCCTCAACCGCCTGTTCCTGTTGCAGCTCAACTTCTACTCCGGGAACTACGACGCCCTCTACGAGCACATCCCCAAGACCTCGCTGCCCCGCGACTACGGCGGCTCCCAGGACACCATGCTCACCCTGCACCGTAAGTGCACGCGTCCGTCTCTCTCGCCCCATGATTGCGAGAGAGTGAGAGAGAGAGTTCCGACAGACTGTTCCGCGGGTCTCGCTCCACAATCATTACGACTAATGACAACCCTTCCGCTTGCCGCCTAGATCTGCAGCAGAGCAAAGTGCAGGCGCACCGCGACTGGTTCCTCAAGGAGACCTCCCTGCGCGTGGACGAGTCGCGGCGGCCGGGGAAGGCCCAGAACGCCGGCTCCGTCTTCGGCATGGAAGGCTCCTTCAAGAAGCTGGAGCTCGACTGACCCACAGGCTGACCCACCTCGACGGGAGGGGCCTGGACGGCCTGGACTGCTTCACAAGAGCGGGTAAACTCGTTTCCTCGCTCCCACAACACTTTTGAAAAAGGGATTCTCATTTGCGTGTTTAGTATATTCGTACTTTTCCACTTACGTAAGGCAGTCATAAGTACCTGAAACAGCAGACGCGCCTGGTCGGCCCGGCCACGTTGTGAACTCGGACAAGTTGTGAATACAAATAAACCAAATTCCACGAATCTTGCTGCTACCGCAACACCCGCACGACCGCCAACCTCCACGACCGCTGCCGGCCGGCTAAAGGTGCGGCCGCGTTGCCGTGGGCGAGCACCGCGATCAACGCCAGCGAGTGCGAGCCCGCCAGCCCGCGCCAGCCTCCAGCGAGCCCCCTGCCGGGTAGGCAGCCCAACCAGCAGCAGCAAGTCAAGCCGCCGGGCGAGCCAGGCGTAGGCCACCCAAGCGACACCATGGCTACACCCAGCGTCCCACGGCCAGCCAGACCAGCCAGGGTCCTTCCTAGACACCTGTGTGTACCAAGACAACCATGGCTGTCTGTCTGCATGACTGCCTGTCTGTCTGCCCGCGCCACGTCCGTCCCATTCAACGCGCAGCGCCCCAGCAGTGATTTCCTGGCCCTGTCTCTCTCGCACGCATGGGAGGTCCGTCAGGGTGCGAGAGAGACAGGGAGGTGCTCGCTTCGCCCGCTCCATGCATATCCATCGGAAGCGTGGACAGTAGTTCGTAATTACCACCACAGAGCCGCTAGTGTCGCGCGGCAGGCAGAGTGCCAGCAGGCTGCTCCGGAACAAAGCTTCGCTGTCTCTCTCGCACCCCTGCGGCGCGTGCCATGAGTGCGAGAGGGACCGCGCGGCGGGGGCACGCTTCCCAACCAGTCCGCGGCGGCAGCGGACACCGCGGCTTACGTCCGAGGCTCCGATTTACTTGGCTACCCGACCGCCACTGGGTTCGGTTCGAGTCGGTACAGGAGGAGGATGGGGAGGTGGAGGGAGAGGACGGGGCGCTGGTCGTCAACAAGGCGGCGCGCACGGAGGACGGAGTAGAAACAGTTGGTGCCTGGTGGCGGCCAAGAGCGCCACGGTCTGGGACGCCACGGTCAAGACGCGAGCAGCTGGGCGCCGACGACACGCCGGACACGGCGACGAGGTGAGACGACTCAGTAGAGGCTGATGGCTGTCAGAGTTCCACCACAAAATAAGGCAGTTCCACTTCGCCTCGCATGCCATCCCGAAAGTGATTTAGAAAAAGACGACGAGTCAAACTGTCAGTCCATGAAATCGTCATGATTAAAAGGAATGACTTTAAGACGACGCCTGCTTGGCGACGACAGCTTCCCTCCCAAGGGGCAATCTCTGACCGGTGAGTGTACAAGTTGACCGCCCGAGCGCCCTCTGCGTCCAGTTGTACAGTAGGCGCCGTGGCGGCCCTTCCCTCAGCCTCTTCGGTGCAGCTGCCCTAGCCACGGGGAAAGGACGGTGACGGGGCAAGGGCCCAAGGGCAGGGCCCCCCAATCGCAACGCGGGGGCGTCCAAAATCGTCTGGAAAGTGGAAAGTTCGCCGCGGCGGTCCGCCTGACTGACCGTGACGCCCGAGCGGCAAAGTGGCAGCACTCGGAAGAACAAGAACAAAACGGCGCGGCGAGGTCGGACTTCCCCGCGACCCGCGCTCCGGCACCTACAGCGCCTCCAGTGGCCTGGGCGGGGCGACTGTGCGTCATTGGCGCCGTCCCCTGGACTTTATTTCCTCGGCCCGCCCGGCCGTGGACTGTGGCGCACTGTGCCGCACACCGGTCCAGGTCCAGCAGCGCGAGGCCGCCTGGCCGGCCCGGCCGTGGCCCTGGCCTAGCGTGCCGGCCCTAGCAGTGCCGTGGCAGCGCGGCCGGCCAGCAGGCCGCTCACTCGGATGGACAGGCAGCGCGTGGCACTGGTCCTATCGGCCCGGCCCGCCACTCATGCCGCCGGCATGCCGTCGGTGCCCGGCGATAAGAAAACCATCAGCCCCTGCGGGGACTCGAACCCACGACCCGCGCTCCGCGCTCCGCCGCCAGCACCTGCCTCATTGCATCATTAGCGGTGTGGTGGTGCGTCGACCGGCATGACACTCAGGTCAAGGGCCGCCCTGGACGCGACGTCCGCCGCTGCGTCGACGCGTACCTGGCAGCCGCGGCGACTTCCTGCGGCTCGACGAGTACCTTCACCGTCACGGGGTGGCGGCCGCGCGCCGCGTCCGCCCGGCTAAAACGGGCCGGCGGCGCACGCGCCCCCTGGCGGCGCGTACGGCAAACAGAGCCGCACAGCACAAAGGGCACACTGCGTTCATTGATCGTAGAGCCAGACGCCAGTCGGGGTCGCGACGTCGTGGGGCAGGGAAGCAGCGCCCGCGGAGGGCGGAGGCTGCGGTACGACCATCACGGCGTGCTTGTCGACGCCGGCCGCGAGGAGGAGGCGCGGGGCGTGGAGGCACCTCTGGCCTTCTTCGCGGGGTAGTTCGGGACAAGGCAGCAGATGGGGTTAAAGGGTCCGCCTCGCTGGCGTAAAGAAGGGGCTTCGGCTAGGTCCCGCCTAGTCCCGGTTACCGTTCGTGCCCCGGACCCCCGGACCACAATGGGCCGGCACTGGCGAGGCTGGCCAGCGCGGATGCCACCCGGCCCGCTCCGGCGCACGCGATCCGTGCGGCCGAGTCCAACTTGCACCTACCGCCGGCCGCTTTTAAACGCTTTCATTTGGGAACCGCCGGCGAACAAGAGCGGCAATGCACGCTGCTTGCTGCACTCGCTGGGCCGAGCGCCTGGAGGGCAGCCAGTCCCGTTACGCACGCGCGTCGAGCGGGCAGGTATCGCTGCGTCGGCAGGCGTTCGCCCCGGCCAAAGCCGCAAGCCGCCCCCAGAGTCACTTTCCAAGCCAATGGCACGCCGCACCGTTCTGTTGCAGGGGACCGCTTCGGCCGCCAGCACCATGATGAAACTGGCCACGGTGGAGAGGGAGTTCCGGAAGAACCCCCAACTCAAGCAGGAGGACATCGACGCTTTCCAAGAATGGGCGGCGGCTCAACCACATCTGCCCGCCGTCACGGGTGAGTGCTCCAAGGGGCGCACTGCCAGGTGCAGTGGCAGTGCAGAGGCAGTGCAGTCTTGCAGTGCAGTGGCTCCAATGGAAGCACCATCCGCTGCGGCGCCATGGGTCCACGCGGGCGAACCCATCACCGCCAGTCACGGCCGTGAACCCGCCGCAGTCAAGGCGTCAAATTATACTGACGTTCTGCATTTCTTTTCGCAGTCATGAGCCTGGTGATATTCCTGCATTGCTCCTTCTACGACTTGGAGACGGCAAAGAAAACTCTCACAAAATACTACGTCCTCCACTATAGTTCCCCTCATATTTTTATGAACAGAGACCCTTTGAATGAAGAGCTGGCAGCGATTGCAAAGGCTGTGTGAGTGAGCGTTAACCATCTTACAGTACAGTGCCTATCCCTGGTTTCCCAGTAATGTGCACTTTCCTTACGTTAAATTGTCTATTTCAGTGGCATAGTCATTCTCGACGGACTTGACAATGATGGAAACCTAGTAGTCTTTCAACGTCTTATTGACACAAATCCAGCCAAATACAACATGGATTTGACTCTGAAGTTGTCACACATGATGTGCGACATCTGGCAACTAGAAAACGGCACAGCCAAAGGAACAGTACTCGTCTATGATCAGCGGGGTTTTGGACTGAGCCACATGGCAAGCGCCTCACTATCATCCATGAGAAACATGATGAGCTATGTTCAGGTACCATTTTGGGTTCAAATCTTCTAATGACATACATTTTTTTAAACATCCATAACTGACCTATTTGGTTCATTTCAGGAATGTGCTCCAATAAATGTGGTTGCCATACATGTGATATACACGAATGCAGTCATTGATACCATTCTCGCCTTATTCAAACCTTTCATGAGGTCATCACTTTATAAATTGGTGGGTGATCAAATTAACTTTTTTATAAATGGTATGTATAAAAGATTTAAAAATAGCAAAAATTATTATTACAGATAAAAACATATAGAGAAGCTAAACTAGATGAGTTTTACGAAAGCGTGCCTCAAGAAATCCTGCCAGAAGAGTATGGTGGCAAGCAGCCATCACTAGAAGAATTAAGTGGTAAATATATTACAAAATTATTTATTGTAAGGCTAATTTGAATTTTCCAAGGCTGCGACATAAATCAACCCAATTTTCCTTCATTTATAGAAAGAAGCTACCAAAAATTCATAGAATACAGAGACCACTTCCTAGAACAAGACAGGAAAGTCTCAGAGGCTGCTGCACTAGCAAAGAGCAAATCACCAGGATTGCTTGGACGAGTAGGAGCTTGGATTGGTTTTGGAGAGTAAACGCGACCATCAACATTCCCATTAACATTCCACTATGAAAGTATAAAAGAAACAAACCATTCCACTTGTGTGATTATGAAGTGTGAAACATTAAAACTAATGAACCATCAGACCAATAAAAACTGTTCCAAATATGAAATAAAGATCAAATAAATTTTTCATCCTTTGTGACTGCTTTATGTTTGGGGGGAAAGGGGATGATACATTGGAGTGGCACTTACTTGGCGAATCCTCTCCATTGGCATCCATCACTTTGCTGGGAAGTTTTGACAGCACCTCCAATGCTAGAGCCGGGCAACCAGCCTTGAAGTGGGCATGAGCTGTGGTGAAGTACAGTTGCCTCTCCAAAGGAGTGATTGAATCTTCAATTAGCAGCTGTGGAGCAACAAATTTATTCAAGCAAAATGCTAAATACCCAGGTTGCAAGTTTGTACAAGAAAGGACTCATACCTGTCTATCAGGGTTGGAGGTACTGGTATCAGAGCCATATGTGAAACCAGACAGAACAACATGAGTTTTCTTCTTATCCTGTGCAGTACTGGCAAGATACTGGCGAATGAGTAGAGGATGAGTGCGCAGATACACATAAAAGTTAAACACATTTGGGTTTGCTGAAATTAGAAATAAAAGGATTGTTATAATCTTAGCTTGTCGGAAATTCAACGGGAATGCATTGGTAAAAGAGCAGATGTCTTACCTGTTGCTCCCTCACTCTTGTCCTCATCATTATAACTAGGGTGCATAGACCCAATATTTGTCTGTAACAGTGTGTTGAGACTTCCTGTATGGTCTTTCAGAGTCCACAAAGCCATAGACCGGAGGAATGGATCTGGGTGCGCTCTTGAGGGGTTTAGGTTGTTACCATTGCTATCAAGACCAAGGATATTCTCATATAACAATCTCTTGAGACTGGGAGGAGTGGAATCCATGTCTCCTTCATACAGACGAACAACGACCATTGCCAACTGCAGATCATCAAGTTTGTTCAAACACACTTCAATAGCATCTTGAAGTGCTCCGGCAAGAAGGAAGAAGGCAGCAGCATGCTCAAAACGCTGCTTTCCAAGAAGAGCAAATGCATTTTTGAGAGCTGCTTTGCGCCATCTGTCTTCAGAGAAATTGTTGGCGAAAAAGGCGGTCATACGCTCGTCTCGTCTAGATCGGAACAAGCCCCAAACCAAACTCTTCTTTTTCATGGCAAGGTAAAATATGGCAGCATCCAGAGGATCTTGGCTTGACTGGTAAGCAGCTTTAGCCACTTTTTCAATGCAAGTTTTCAGGGTGGTGTTGTTTCTCAACCACCAACCCACTCCAAGCTCTTTTAATGTACTCCACCGGGGCTGAGATTTAGCATAGGAAGGTATTAGTTGGAGTAACTCTTCCTCACTTTCAGAATGGTACGCCCAGACTAGATTGTTGGTGCTCACGCCCTGTCTCTGGAAGAGGGCTCTTTGAACAAGTGGTAAGCAGCGAAGTAAATAGTTGTAGTGCTTCATTGCCAGTAAAAACCGAAGACCACAATCATCAAGTGAATCTAGAAAGAGGAAAGAATGCAAATAAATGCAACAAAACTACAAAAAACAAGATACAAAACAAAACTATGAAAAAAAAAATACCTGTGGAAACATCTTCCCCTTCTGGCACACCAGTAAGATTCTCTTTGGCAATAGCTGTTTTGGCAGCATCAATGGCAAATCTTTCAGCAAAGTCTGTGTTGCAGGTCGACACAGTGTCTGCCAATGCCAACAAGTGCATTTGATCCAAACTCGACAGACCGGGTAGATGGGTGTGAGTAAGCAAACGTGATAAGACTCTGCCCTGCCTTGGGCCAAAGTGGGACAGTCCCTGTCTTTCCTGAGCAACTGACTGCCTTCGGTCTCGTCTGCGTGGCGAATCAGGCATCTCATCTTCTAAAATGTCATCTAGAGATTCATCGCCCATTGACACATTGGCATCAAACAAGTCATTATAATCCTGGAAAGAATCAGCAATAGTTTAGAAACCTAGAAAGACCAAGGATAGGAGAAGAGTTTTGGTCACATTCCACGTCCATACCTGTTGATCATCTTTGCCTTGGGTGCTATTTCCAGCTGTTTCCTTGTCAGCTGCCAGCAGGGTCCACAGAGGCAGTGGGGGGATTGAAGTTATTTCAGCATAATCCAAGGTCAGTTCTTCAGGGATGGCAGTAGTGGATCCTCTTTGCTCTAGAGGACTTGTAGTTCCTAACAGACAATAAAAAAATCACACAAATAAGAAAGCAGACCAAAAGGAATTGCAGAAAAGAAGGTTCAGATTCAGTTCTGTAATTACCTGCATAGCTGACGGAAAGGGTTCGCGAACGTGACCATCCCCGCTGCCTCACTATGCTCTCCTCATCAGAACTAGAGCAAACTGTCTGACCTCTCACGGCATAGGAACCAGAGATGCACCTGAGACAGCAAGCAGGAAATTTTAAATACTATAACATTACAAAATATTCCCTGGTAGATATCTAAACAGAGACTCACCTAACAAGGTGGGCAAGAATGGCTTTTACCCATCGGATCTTGCCAGAGTTCAGCAGTTCCATCAGTTGTTTAGGATGGTACTGTGGAAGGACAGGACACGCAATTCGGCTCGCCTCAAACAAACCGTAGTCAGGCATGTAGTCCACATTAATTGGCTCTGCTTGAGCAGTGGCTCCTACACAACACATCAATTACATTGTTGTTCAGGAAAGTTGTCACCAAAAACCCTTTTATGAAACAAAGCAACCAGATGGTACAAACCTTTTCTCTTCTTTGTGTCCGATGATAGCATATTCAAATTGATGGAGCTGACTCTTGATAGGTGGGGCATTGAACTAACATTTGCCAGTCGACGTTGGGAAGTCTCCTGGGGGAAGAAAGAAAAATGCCACTCATCAATTATTTGAACGAAACAAATAAAATATACATATAAGGGACAAAAAGTTGCAATGAGGTTATGTACTTGAGCCAGATTGCGTAGATCTTCATCACGCAGATTACGGGTATCTTGGAGTTCATCTGATTCTTGGTGGATAAGTCGGTTCCCAGAAACTGGCCCAAACTCTTCAGCAACTGTAATGGAAGAAATTAGATGTTACAGAAAAAGAGTGATAACGAAAAAACACAGAAAAAACAGATTATCAAATAGGCTTAAACTTACAGTCTGGTTTCCACTGAGAATACACATGCATTTCACTGTCCATTCCAACGACTAGAATTCCATCACGAACCCAAGAAATTTGCATGGGAAGTGGGGGCAGACCATCAGCTGTGGTCAAATCTATCTTACGGAGCTTCATCCATCTGTAAAGGAACATGAGTCATGTTATGAATTAGTGCATTCAAACATTGACATAAGAAAAGTACACCCTCATGCAACACAAACCTGATCTCATCAACAAAATTAGGAGCAGCCAGAGAAGAAGCTTTCCGGAGTATCGGTCTATTGGTAGACTGAGATTCCTTCATGGCCTTCATATTTGCTTGGGCAAGGTCACTTGAAACTGGAGTGAAGAGCATGACCTGAAAATCAAAATGAATCCGCCATAGAATCAATTGGTCACCAGGAATAACAACAAAAGCAACAACAAAAATTTACATACCTTACTACCAACTCCTACAGTAAGGATATGAGATCCATCTTCTTTGGACACCCAATCAAGCTGAACAAGGTGCTTCTGAGTCAGGGGGCAGGTGTTGCCGTGATCTATAATGGATTTTCGAAGAGACTGGAGCGTACTGAAGCTAGGAACTGCCAAAAGACCTAAATTCACAGCAAATTGTCAGTTGATGCAAGAAAAACAAATGCATGGTAAACAACATTGATACATTCACAGCAAATATCACCATAGATCATTCAAAAGCAATCATTCAGTAGATGAAAATTTCATGCTTATGAAGATGAATTTCTTTTCTTCCACATACAATACCCCTTACAACTCTATAAAAATTTGTAATGATATTTGTGTCACTTAAATCATGCAGAATCTGATAGTAATGCATGCTGAGTCACCTTAGATTGGTTTGGGCAAATGACATAATTTATCTTTAAATACTGAAATGATTTTAAGGTGAATGGTCATGACTCATGCATGAACATACACTGAACACAAATTGAAGAATGCACTCACAATCAAAAATGCAAAAGAGCACGACATGAAAGACACAAACCCTCCACATACATAGATTGGTCATTCAATTTGAGTGGTCCACTGTAATACCATACATGCAGTTTGTATTCTGAAAGTTTGTCCAAAATAAATTGATTCAAGGCACATGAATTCCCCAGTACACAGAAAATACAGAACACATTACCAAATACCTCTCATGGACTACCATCCCATTATCCACTCTGACCAATCAATTCGCATGCAAAAATGCGAATAGAAAAAGAAATTCACCTATTGGTGATCAACTTACATCCGCAGCCCTCATCAAAGCACGCACCAGTTTTATGAAGACTGCTTGGAGGTTCTAATACAGGAGGAGTACTTTGCTCTCCATTTTTGTTAAGGGGAGAACGATTTTCTAAATCTTCTGTAGAAGAAAATGCACGCATAAGGGTATTAATGCGCTGCTGTTTGGACTGCAAAAAACTCTGATCATAGAGATAACTCAGATCAAGGTGGGGGTCCATACGCATTCTAGGGAGATGGATATTTTTCAGATGTATTGTGTCCTCCAGGACCCATTCAGATCCTGAAAATATAATAAAGTAAGAAAACCTAACAGTCAATGTAATATTTTAAACTAAGTATACCTTTACATTACCTCCTGTGCTTTCACATTCATAAATTGCAACACAAAGGTTTACATATCTAGAATCTGGATCATTCTTGCTCGGTCGTGTAAATGATTTTCCATATTTATAAGCACATGCAATTCTTCCACTGTAGGCAGCACTGATATTCAGTGGTTGCCCTGGAAATAGAAAGAACCTCAGTAGAACATAAAAATTGTTTCCTTCCAGAGGAGGTTACAAAGTCATCCAGACAAAGTTACCTGAAATATCAATAGTTGACTCTTGATCCTTCCGCAACATTTCCCACTCACACCATTCATAATTCTTTTTAGAGCCATTGCTTTTGGTTACCTTGCACTTCCAAAACCTTAAACAAAAACATAGGTACATAATAAGAGAAATAATTCAAAGAGAACCTGTTTTTGCTGGAACACTTACCGCACAGTGCTATCAGAGCAAGCAGTGACAACTATGTATGGAGCAAAGCAGGCTGGGTATATAGATGCAGAGCTCAGATGTCCGGCAGCAGGAGAAGCATGAATCACTTCAACACCATCAGGGAGGGGCAACTCTTGAGTGCAAACCTGCATGAAAATTAGAAGAAGAAAAAGTAGGATTCTTAGCCAAAATTACTGATTACCTTTTATTATTATTTGTATTATTACTATTTTTTAGGTTACCTTTGTGGTTGTGATAAGAACATGGGGTGCTTGAACAGGCTCGTGATGCCGATCATCCCTCATTTCACCAGTGGTGGTAGTGGTGCTGTTATGACGACCAGTTGATTCATTTTCCTCATCATCTTGAACCAATTGACTATCAGGTACGTACATCATACTTCCTGTTAGTTCTGAAATAAAAAAAATAATTAAATCATTTAAGAGTTTAAGGATAAAATAGAATAAAATAGACAGGCTTATTTTGTTACCATGACTCTCCGGTTGAGATGCCATGACTAGTCTCCACATATGAACGACAGTTTTGTTTCCAGCTCTCTCTAAAACCACAATATAGAAAGGCTCTTCAAAAACTGAAAGTTGCTGAAGATCAACCATAGCACCAAGTTGAGATTCCATCAATCCAAGATCACTCTCTCTACGGTTTGATTCTATTGTGGGAGCAAAATTCTTGTCATCACGTTCACCAGTTATGAGTTGCTCTTGGAAAACATGAAGGAATTGGGTGTTTTGCCAATCCTAGAAAATGATAAAGAAACCAAATAAATCTTAAATTTAGAAGAGAAGCTTGAGAAAGCAAACATAACTTTGAAAAAGAACTGCTTACGTGAGTTGCATCAGCAATAGCATCCAGTTGGATGATGCAGCCAGGGCGAGATGTTGACTGTTGGGACACTATCTTGATACGATCATGAAGAGAAGAATGCTTCATACCATCATCTGATGAAGCATCCGAGGACAAACTGACCATAGAGTCCTGCATATAAAAAGATTTATGTTAAAGGCAATCCAATGTGGCTCTTTTCATACTGACTTTTGAGTCTGGAAGTGGACAACAAATGTTTGTAATGAATGAAAGCAAACCATACCTGCATGCGGCTACGTCTTTCAGATGAAGAAACTTCAGCCAGTAGGGTACGTGCATCAATAACAGCTTGATAAACTCGAAGACTTTCTCCATCAGAGGCAACAAAACATGCACTTGGAGAATTGGATAGATTGCCCAAAGTTGTACTTGGGAGGAGTGTTGGTATCCATGCAACATTGGAAAAAGCTGATATTTCAGGGGAGTTAATCCTTGCAAGTTCTGATACCCCACCTGACTTGGATAGTGGACCAACTGCATCTACTCTCCAAAGAATCAATTCACTGCAAAATCCCTGAAAAATATAGAAAAGAAAGGGTTCAGAGGTGTTGCTGTAGAAATGTAATCAATATTTCAACACACAACAAAATTATTTCAAAACATACTGAAGGAAGTCCCTTGGCTCGAGCTGCCTGCTTATCTACACCTTCCTCGACTCCAATTTCATCGTCTGGTGAATTTGGAGCATCAAGAAGATTGTGATGTGACGTCGTCAACAGCAAAGGCAATACGGGGTGACAAGTTATATCATTAACCCGGAAGCGGTGCCCAGAGGCTCGGGAGAAATGACCAATGCTCAGAACCTGCAATCCACGCAGAGAAAATTATTAGGAACATGATGAATACACTATTTGCTCAACTTAAGATAGACTGCAGCTAGAGCACACCTGAGAGAACTTGGTGCGATCGGCAAAAGTGATTTGCCACAAATTCAAGGTACCATTGGAATGTTTTGTAACCATGGAGGCAACAGGAGAAGGAGCACCGGCAATAAGTTCATGCATGTTGTTATGCTCTGGATCCTCAGCCTGAGGACTGCCTGGGGTACCATGGACTTTGTTTCCTCCACTTGCACTTGTTTTTGTGATCATCGGTGTAACATTTTCATTCCCTACAATTTTTTTAATTTAATAAAAATGAGAAACATAGATTAAGTACAGCCCTGCACAATAAAAACAGGTGGATTGTGGAATACTGAGAATACCTGGACTCCAGTCTGGTTCCTCCTCCATCACGCACGGCAGAGGCGTGGTTGTTTCAGCAGAAGGATCAAGAGACGATGCATTGAGTCCCGGTGTTCCACCTCCATTGACTAAACCAGACACTCCCATGGCAGAGGCTGAAGAAGGAGACTTGGCTGCTCCCTCTCCATGAAGGCAAGTGCTAAGAAGCTGGTGAGTGCACCCAGATGCGCTAGAGGGGACACAAGATGATTTTCATTTTAACTCATTTCAGAACATAGTCTGACAACTCCATTGAATGCGGAGTGGCAAAATAATTTTGACATTTAAAATAAACAGTGTTATTCATTTTCTACTACTGGAACTCTTTTATGCATTAAGGCTTTCTTGGGTTTTACTTTACTTCCACTTGAGCTAATGAGAACTGTGGTAGCACACATTATAATTCTTAAAATTGAAAAATGAAGGTTGCCATGAAAATTGTCACTCATTTTCATTTTCAAAAGCCATTCAAAAGTAAGGATGTGAAGCAAAACACAAAAAAGCAGGATTGAAAGTTTCACGTAAAGGTTTTATTTGAAAGTTTACACACGAGAAGAGGAAGATAAATAAATTATGCAGGAGGAAAACTTTACCTAAACAGGTAAAGACAACAAAAAAAGCATGCGAAGCTATAAATAATACATGCTGCATAGACATGAATAATTTATTATTATTTGTGGTCTTTAAGTAAAATTTAGGGAAGCCATCAACAAAACTGCAGCGTGACTTAAACAGATAAATCTCCAAACGTACGATATAAAACCATTTAATTAAGCCTAATAAAACTATTCCAGCGCAAAATAACTGTGAGTTGTTAAGCAACATTACTGCATTTTCAAAGCCAGGAGAAGAGCAAAGCTTGCTGCAGTACCTGTAAAGGCACACGTTCGTTGACATGGTGGCCGCATCGCCGAGAGGGAAGGCCGACGGGATGCGAGTTGAGAATGAAACTTGAGCTTGACGAAATGAACCAGGATGATACTCATCCAACCACTCTACAACCCTGAAAACAAACAGATTCAATATTGAAATAACGTATGTACGAAGCTAATATCCCTGACAACTCAAGCCAAGTTTCTAACCATATTAGAAAGCTTCCATCAATTGGGTGGATTGAGAAGAGCAAATCTGGACTTTGGTGCCAGTCTCTCAAGAGGTTGTCAATTTTTGCCTCCAAGAAGTCTGGCACTTGACCTAAAGGAGGTCCTGTATCTGTTGCAAGTGAGTTAATTGATGTAGCCGCACTGGAAAATAAAAAATCATAATTATAAACCACCCAATCCAGTCTTTAAAAGGTCAAAGCATGTGTTAAATATTCATACACCCGACCTAAGCGATTGATGACTGTGTGGGCCACTGGAAGGAACACTGCTGTGGTGGGCTGCGCTAACTTCTTCACTTCCACTCTCATCTTGTGACAAAGTCTTCCCCACACGCCCAGGGCGGCGCTCTGGAAAAGTTATCGGTTAAAACTCAAGCCTCAGCACATTGCACTGTTTCAGAAACACACAGGATTTCCAATTTTCTTACTTGTGCCTCGATCATCATGTTCTGATTCGTGCTGCTCTGAACTGTCCCGATTACTCTCAGCTCCCTCTTCTTTCTCCATGCCCTTGCGGGTAAGCTCGTGAAGGATACTTTCTGCTTGCATGGTGAAATGCATCTCCTTGTTGTTCAGCCAATGAAGGATAAAATTGGGCTCCCTTTCTGGATCACCAGTAATAAGACTAGGAACCAAAGGAATATCTGGAACAGAAGAATATGATTAATATTAATGCAACATCTAATATTATTATAATGATGGGAAACTCTCTAAAACACTCACCAGTCTCTCCATTAATGCTTGCTGCTAAGTGGAAGTGCAAACCAGGTGTCACCCCAGTCCCATGGAAGCCATAGTTATGGAAGTCATGAACACTGTAAGTGGATGGCAAGGTGGGAATAGGAGCAGTCGATCCAGGTATACTGCCTCTACCTTGATTATGTTTGGCATGTCGTCTTATGTGAAAGCAAGTTCTGAAAATAAATGTTCACAGCAAGATCAACAACAAATAGCACAGGATACATGGTGGATCTAAGTTTTCATTGAATACATACTTCATGTGTTTAAGTCTTTGCATAAAACGATGTTTGTGACGATGAGTGCGAAATTTAGGGTTTTGAGCAGCTAGTGGATCAAGTTGACTCATATTGACTAGACCATCGTCAGGCAGCACAGTTTCCACCCAAAGTCGGCATATGTTGTCTCGACAGGATGTTACCAGCATGTTTGAAACAGAGCCCCTGCAACAATACAACACAAGTTATAAAAGACTGTTTATACAATTTTCATGTGATGAAAAAGAAGTCTGAAAAACTCTCATACTAACTTTGGCATATATTTGCTAGTTTTTCTCCAAGAAATTTGTGTAACTGCACGAGGATGAGCAATGTAGACAAAGCCATAGTTAAACTCTGATGCAACTGACTGGCCTGTGAATCCAAGAGGCTGATCAACACTTTTAGTGGGGAACAACACTGCAACAAAGGAACAATAACAATCGCCAGATTAGTCAACATATTGTTTTAAATTCATTAAAATTCAACAACACACTGGTTTGACAATACTGTGGTCAAATAGATAGGAACTTACATTGTTTATTTTCAAACCATATTTTGACAAGTCGGTCACACTTCCCCGCAGTGGCAAAAAGTGTCCCATCAGGAGAGAAAGCCATGTGGAATACTGGAGTGGCAGTGCGGCATTTCCACACACAATCCCAGCCCTGCCAGGAATCCTCTTCGGTGTCCAGACCAGGGCCAGATAAATTTGGTTGGGACTCACCCCCAATTTCAAAAGTGACTCCAGAATGTCCTCCTGAAAGAAAACAAATAGGTAATTTTCCCAAAAGTTGGAATTAAGTTATAACCAAAATAAAATGGAAAGCTATTTTGGCCATCTCACCATTTTCCACATCAGCCTCCGCTCTTGGGTCAAGCCTCTGGTGCCAAAGCTGCAGTACCTCTCCACCAGTGAGCAGCCTTGTTCCCTCTAGGTTCCAAGACAATGAGCTGATGTGGGATTCTGTTTGAAGACTGCCAGTCTGCACCCATCGATAGTCGAGTTGCTGCAAACATCAAGACCGCCCAATGTGAACCTGTCCCATTTATTCCATTCACAATGAATCGAGCAAATGTTGCATGCGGTGCGTCGTCCCTAATTTAAGCACGCCCCCCTCCCGACAGTCTGCTGGTAGTGTAGTGCCCATGGCAGTGCCCATGGCAGTGCGGCTGCGTTGCGCCACTCCGCGGCTGTCGTTGACAATTACGATCGCCCGTCGGCGACCGGATGGATGGACGGATGGGAGGCGAGGACCCGAATAGTGTCCTGCCAAAGGAAAGGGGGAGGGGGCTGGGATCATAAGCCGCCTCGATGCGCCGCGATGTCCTGCGACAGGTGCATGCCAAGCGTAACTTTGGCCTCCGCGCGCAATGCGCACTGCGCTGAGAGGAGAGCCCGGGTTCGAGTCCCATCAGCAGCCGCCTTCCCATCGGCCCTCCGAGCTTTCAGACCTTCGTTCGGCGAGCAGCGCGCCGCGAAAAGTGCTTCTGGCACGAGTGCCGCCGCGCCGCGATACCCCGAGATAAGATATTAGACAATAAACGCGCCGAGCGGGTCGACACCATTCATGGAATTCCGGCTCGGATTCCGGGCTGGCGAGGGTTCGAATCCCCGCTTTGTCCACAGGCCGTCCTCAACGTTTTCGTTTGGATGAGGGTTTTTTTTCCTCCCTTGGCCGCATTAGGGCATGGCCAAGCACGAGCAGGGCGCCAGGCGCCAGACAGCGAGCGGCTGGCACATTAAGGCGAGGTCGAATTCAGGACGCGACGCGAGCACTGTGACGTCATCGCGCATCGCGGGGAGCATGGACCATGACTGAGAAGAGAATCCAAGGGTGTTCCGCCTAGCTTCCCCCAAAGATGAACTGGCAGCCCTCACTGCAGAGGGCACAGATACAACTGTCCCTCTCATTCAATGCAATTTACCCCTACTGAGCTTGCCAGGTTTGACAGGTGTGTAAACAAGTTTCCTGCTTCATGATACTGACGAGCAATCAATAAACTTGATTGCATGTTATTGGTGTCTCTGATTTCTCTTGCAAAATGCGATGAACTTACAGAAGTAGGCTGAGACAAGCTCTTCTTTCTATTCAAACCATCAGCAACGCTTTCACTCAAAATATTCAGAAAACTTACATGCGATGAAGTATGATGAATGAGAGGGGTTGGCTCGAAGATGCATACTTGATTCTCATAGGCAGCAGCTATTTTACCAGTGTCAGTAGAGCAATCAAGGCATGAGATGCGGATATAATTGTGAATAGCACCAGGAATAATCTGAACACGCTCAAAGGTGCTTGCCAATATTACTATGTTACATCCAGCAGCATAAGCCTGAAATTACAGGAAAGTAAGGTACAATTTTAAACAAGAAACAACATGAGGAAGTAAAATTTTGAAAATATATAAATGAAACGAAGTTTTTCAATGGTTGGAGTCAGATGACACTTAAGGACAACAGCAGAAAAAATGGTTCAATAAATGTATAGTAAAAAAAAAGAAAAAAAAGATGTAGTGTTGAGGAGCCGACAAATTGACAAGGTGGTATTAAACAATGACAAAAAATATAAACTGATGAATATCTTGAGAATGTGCAGAACTTTGCCTGTAATTCTAGGTTAGGATTAGAGTTGACATTCAATTGAGAAACCGTAAAAGTTCTGCACCCTACCTCAGAGAAGAGTATCTTTAACAGAACTTGAATCAGTCACTTGACAGACAATGAAAGGGTATGTAAACTTGGACTGACAAGATATGTGTCAGAAGAGAGAAACTGAAGTACCGCCATCTTGAGACCTCTTTTTCGTCAATATCCATAATACAGTCCGTGAAGCAGAACCCGAGCAAAGACATGAATGCAGGGGTTGAACATGACATCGTGCCAGGTGATACAAGGGAAAATGACAAAAACTTACTGTAAAAGGAATCCCCTCAACACTCCCCACAGCGAAGCAACGGTCGCCTACATTGCAGGCCCCGCTCAGAATTTGGTGACAATTCATGGTGCTCCTGTTCTCTACGGCAAACACAGTGCTAGGAAATCATTGAAGACAGCGAAAGAACCCAAAACAATCTACACTCAAAAAATTAAAAGACACAGACGGTTTCCCTGTCTAAAAACACTTGCGAAAAAGTCGCCATCTTTAAGGGCACTAGAGACACTGCTAAGCTGTCAGATCCAAACGTTCTGCACTTTCTTGTTTTGCTTCTTCTTACATCTCCACTTTAGCCACACTGAGAATATTTAGTTAGAAATCGTTCTAGCACGGTTTTGGGCCAAAATGTTCATCAACGAAGACTAATTATGATCTTTAGTTCCGAATAAAATCTGGAAAGTGCTGAAGTTACGAGATAAGCCAATTGTGTCAAATCGTAGAACCCAGCACCCTCTTTTTGTGTTGGCAACATCACAACTTTAGTCGTGCTGTTTTCCGGTTCCTGTCTTCTGCTAGCAGAAACCTTGCAGAAACACAACAAATGCAACCAATCAAACAGCTGACTGCCTCCTGGTTGAATTAAGAAGTGAATTTAACATTGGTGCCCATTGCCCCGAAAGTTTGAACAAAACGTATTGTATTTTGTTTTCACCACTCTTGTTTCTCGAAAAATGTCGAGCCTCACTTATTGTGCCTCCATGTCGAGGAGGTTGGTTAAGAGTTCCTTTCCTGCCCTCAGAAGTGAGTGTTCTCAATATTTTAGTAAAAATTGCAGTAGATTATGTAACCTCTAAATCATGATTGTTTTCGGGATTTGTTCTTGATTGAGCCCGCTAGAGGCTGTTCGCAAGGTCCGATACCATTTCAACCTTTCTGTATCTTTTTTTGTTGTTGTCATTCATTTGCCATAGGTTCAGACATTCTAGAGGCTGTTTAATTTCCTTTTGCAGATTTCAACTTCCAATTCAACAAATGCTATTCGTCAGGCACTGGAAACTCACCTGACTCAAAGTCCGATGAATCATGCAAAGCAGCCAACCTTGCAAAAAAGTTGCGAGCAAAGACACCCATAGGTATGTTATAGTTTGCTTACAATTTCTCGTCAACGAGAAGACTTCGAGATGTATGAATGTTGTCTTTTAAACTACTGTTACATTTATTCTGGAGACAGTGTCAAGTCGAATACTTTAATATTGCCACATGTCCCTCTTTCCCCATTAAATGCATTTTGTCTTTCTTGCTTTCTTTCTTGCAGGGAAACTTGATGAGCTAGATGAAGGTAAGCACCCATTCCAAGAAAAGGAACCCTTGCCTCCATGGCCAAATAACACTAACCCTCACACTGGAGAGGTTGGTGGACCAAAGGGGCCTGAGCCTACACGATACGGGGACTGGGAGAGGAAAGGACGGGTGTCTGATTTCTGAGATACTTAATTACATTCATTTTGGTTGAATGATGTGATTTTTTAAGTTTCTTATTATTGAGCATAGAAGTCTCAGTTTTGTAGGACATTGTGATATGAGTGCATAATTATTAGTCTATAAATTAAGTAGGTCTCAAGTCCATAATGAATCAGCAGGCTAAGATTTAATTTTCTAACTTCAGATCTTCTTTTTTCTTTATGTATATCATTTGTTGATGTTAATTAGAAGTAGAATAATGCCTGGAAACTTGATGAAAACCAATGTTACCTTGTTGTCTAAAAGATTCAATTTATATGTACAGTAAGTAATAGTATATATTTAACAGTCTTGGAAAAGATAACTAAGTAAAAGTTATGAATGTGTTGACAACAAAGACTATAAACTTACAATTACCATGAGATCACACATTTTAAAAAATCAATAAACATAGATACACATGCTGTTGAAAATTACAGGAGTACTGAAATTTGGTTGAACAGGTACATTGTTTGAGATACATACAATTAATTAAGGAAATTTTAAAACAAAACTCAGTGTAACTTATCATGCAAAACAAATCTGCACTTACTGACAACATAAAGTAACAAATAATAGTTATGAGCTATAGTACAAACTATAAGGCACATACATAAAAACATATGTAATGGTTTACATACTATCATTAACCTTAAAACAAAACACAAAAAAAAAACTAAACATATACACTTGTAAGAGAGAAGCTAGCTTTGTACTTTCAGGTTTGGGGACTAGACAAATTCCTATAGCCACACGTATTGATGTGACTGACCCAGTGCATTTTCTGAAACAGACAGAAATCAAATATTGGATTAAACAACACAGTGATTGTTTAGACTCAAGTGGAACACAATTAAAACCAATGATAATTAATGGAATGAGGATGCTGTTAGTCAAGAGAAGCATTGTGATATTTGAGACTGAAAAAGGCGAATTAGAAGGAGCCCCAAACTAATGGAATAAGGATGGTGTTAATTATGAGAAGAATGATATCATGAAACTAATAGGATGTTGCTTCACACCTGGCAATTTGTACTACAATAATAAATATCAGGACACGCAGGGCATCTTAAGGTTGCAGTTTTGATGCACTGAATGCAAGTTGGAATTTCGACGTGGCCCAAATCATCATCAGACCCCACTGGATCCTCATTTGAGGGTTGAAGAACCTGCGAAGAAATTGTTAGTTAGCAAAGTAAAGCGTAAAATGACATCAGTCAAGGTTAAGAAATTGTTAGTTAGCAAAGTAAAGAGTAAAATGACACCCGTCAAGGTTATTACAGAACCTTTTGATCCTTTCAAGATTTACTTTCAAGATTACAAACTATGTGGCAAAATTTTAAATATCAATACTAATAAAAGTGGTTTGAAATGAACAGAACGGTTTCAGGGCCTTCATTTTCTTGTTCTCCTCGACTGCTGAAACTAGAGCACATACAGAATTACATACCCGGTGGGGGGAAGTGTATCCACTGTCCCTGGATGGTGTACGAAGCCTCTGGAGGAACAAAGAAATTGGTTTAAATACCACACTTCAAGAAAAGAGAGACTTTCAAAAGAAATTTGGTAATTACTTTGTTAAAAGTTGATTCAGTTGAAGTTGCTCCACTTCCTCCTGCTTGATTTCCATGGGGTAATGGCTCCACACCTTGAACTCGTGATCCAGCAGTCTTCATGGGACTATTCAAATCCATTTGATATTCTCGTTTTGTCCGGTGCATGTTGAAAAGTTTTGCTGCAAGGCTCACATTGCAACTGCAATTCCTGGTAAGCTCTAATTTAGACGAGCTGGTCACGGTCTGAAATAGGGTCTTCATGTCTTCTATGGAACTTTGAGGATCACTCAAGTCAGTTGTGGTACAAAGTCTCTTACGCAAAACACAGTACAAATCCTTCTCCTTGAAATGAGAAAGCAGATGCAAAAATGCATTTTCTGTTCTTTGATAGGACAAAGAAAATTTGGACCTAAAGTCATCCCGGAGACTCTGGAATTGCTCTTCCCGTAAGCTCCTAGTTTTCATTTTTTCAGCTTCATTGAACTGTTCAACGAATGTAACAATTGAGCTGTTGGCTAATTTTAAAGTGTCTTCTAGTGTCTCAATTGTATTCCTGATAGATGGCTGTAATTTGTTCCACAGCTCCTGAATTGGGAGATGAACATCAATTGGTGGTTGATCTTCTAGATCAATGAATTCGGCGATTGGTGGTGATAGTGGACAACCCACTCCCCCAACAACCTCAACATCTCCGGGATCTTCAGAAATATCCTCCAAAACAATTTCCTCGACATTGCCTGCATGCTCCTTATCTTCTTTCTTTGCGACTTCATTAACAGTTTGTTCAGCAGTAGCAGCAACTACTGTATCCCCACTTAGCTTGGGATCTGAAGCTGGTCGGTGCTGGCACTCTTTCTCTTGAGGTAGCATTGGGATTGCAGGCGAAACTTCTCTCCCAAGTGGTGGTGGTGTCGTAACTTGTCTTTCATGCTGAGAAGGAACAGAGGGAGGTGATGATGTTGGGTCGCCAATTGAAGGTCCAGAAGAGGGTGTCCTGGTCAAATGGGGCATTTCTTGCCTGTTAGCAGGGCTTATCTCATCTTGTGGCAATAAAAACGGCATCGGGGGTGAGGCCAGTAATGATTCTTGAGCAGTTAAGCAGGTTGATAAGGTCGTGTAATTAGCCGGCTGAGCGTAGACAATCTCCTTCTTCTTTTGGTTGTCCCGTTGGAGTCTTTTGAACATTTCCTCCACAGCCGATGGTGGGCTCTTTTCAGCTTCCGAAGTATCATCACCTGTTGCCCAATGGGCCATGCTCTCATTGGTCCAAGTGCTTCCGACAACTCTATCATCGTCATCACTATCACTCGAGTCATATGGATTAGAAAATCCCAAGACATTAGTTCTCTTTGCAGATGGCGACCTTGTTCTGCTTCTGGTCCTGCTCGCAATACCAGAACGTGGAGGAGATGGTGGTTCCGACGATAGATTGGAGCATCTACTTCTTGCAGATCTAGACCGTTTCGGGGGAGTCCAGTCACTTTCATCACTTCCCTTCCTGCTACGGCGCTTCGGTGTTAGTCTTGACCTAGCATTCTCTTCAGAATCAGGACGAGTCTTGGTCTTGGTGGTAGATTGTTTCTTCACTAACTCTGTTTCCTTGAGTTTTTTTGTTTTTGTCTTCTCCGGAGCACAACTGGTGCAAGTACGCTTTTGACGTCTTGCAGCCCTAACTTCTGCTGCCAAATCAACAGCAGTTTCCCCACTTAAAACATTCATAAGCTCATAGTCAGAGCCTGAACTTTTCGGCCTTCTGTTTTCGGGGTCTTGGGGACTCTCCTCAGAAGCACTGCAGCTCGGGGTGATATGGATTTTGGAGCCAGGGGCTGCAGGCTTTGGTGTGGAGCCTTGCTGCAACCAGGTGGTGGGTGACTTTTTAGTGCTCTTGGGAGTTTCTTGGGCATCTAACAGAGGATTAGGCAATTTTGAAGTTTTGGGTATTCTGAAGTTGGCATTAAATTTAGGAGGATTTAAAGCGGAGTTTCCATTGCTGGACTTCCCTAAATCTTCTTTGGGCTGTTTATCAGTTGAAGATGATATCTTGGATGAGGACGAGGACCTAGTTTTGCTGTCTCTTGTACTTGACGAAGCCTTCGAAGATTTTTTCTTGGCAGATTCTTCATGAGCAGGGGCTGACCTTTCTGGTGTCTTCGTGCGGTGCTTGGATGTTGATGAATGGGAGGATGATCTGGACTTCTTCGATTTACTCCTGGAACTTTTAGATGCATGCTTCTCGCTGCTGTCACTTCGATCAGCCGTGTCCTTCACTACATCACCAGATGATGAATTCGACGCCTTTGATGTACTTGCTTCAATGGATGACCGCTTGGACTTGACATGGGCACGATCGGAGTCTTGGATAGCGGAGTCCGCGTCCGATTGCCGCCGCCTGGGAGTGGAGGCTGCTTCTGACTGACCAGGCTTTGACCTCGAAGCAGAGCTTGACTGGGGAATTGCAGCTTCCATCTGAGGGGTCCGCACGGAAGCGCCTTGTGGAGGCTGGGGAAGAACAGCATCGGACGTGGGGGGCCTCGAAGTACTGCTACCAGGTGGAGGCTGAGGAATCTCAGCTTCCGACCGAGGACGCTTCGAAGTGCTTGATGGAGTGCTTGGCGCAGGCTGGGGAGCCTCAGCATCCGACCGCGGGCGCTTCGAAGTGCTTGGTGGAGTGCTTGGCGCAGGCTGGGGAACCTCAGCATCCGACCGCGGGCGCTTCGAAGTGCTTGGTGGAGTGCTTGGCGCAGGCTGGGGAACCTCAGCATCCGACCGCGGGCGCTTCGCAGTGCTTGGTGGAGTGCTCGGCGGAAGCTGAGGGATGTGAGAATCCAACCGAGGGGGCTTCGAAGAGGTGGGCTTGGGTGTCTGGTGCTTGGGTCTTCCTGGAGGAGCCTCCACGTGACTTCTGGAGCTCGCCGAGCTCGTCGCATCCATCCGAGGATCGCTCCTGGCAGCATCGGACCGCGAACTGGCTCTCAAAAACTCTGTACGCGGATCCGGCCGCGAACCAGCTTTCGGGGTGGCGACATCCGACTGCCGAGGTCTCGAGGCAACATCCGACCGGAAACCGGATCTGGCATCTTCCGTCCGCGAGCTTGGTTTGGCGGTGGCAACATGCGCTTGCTGTAGACTGGACGGCGCAGCCTCCGTCCGCGAGCTTGGCCTGGACGGGGCGGCTTCCGTCCGCGAACTAGGTCTGGCGGTGGCAACATGCGCTTGCTGTAGACTGGACGGCGCAGCTTCCGTCCGCGAACTAGGTCTGGCGGTGGCAACATGCGCTTGCTGTAGACTGGACGGCGCAGCTTCCGTCCGCGAGCTTGGTTTGGCGGTGGCAACATGCGCTTGCTGTAGACTGGACGGCGCAGCCTCCGTCCGCGAGCTTGGCCTGGACGGGGCGGCTTCCGTCCGCGAACTAGGTCTGGCGGTGGCCACATCCGCCTGCTGTAGCTTAGGGGTAGAAGGCGGCTTTTGGTCCCACCTGGACCGCTTCGGAGTCGTGGCACTGCCACGTGGGGGCGAGCTGGTCCTGTACCTGGTAACAAAAAAACAAATAACGAGATCAAATCATTGCCAGAATCTTGAAAAATCAATTAAGGTACACGAGAAAGGACTTACCTCGCTATTGCATTGGCACTCAAGTTTCTCAGCTGCTGTGCCGTCATGGCATTTTGTGAAGCTTCAGGCCTGAAACAAATAAATAAAATGTTTAAAGAGACTTCCAGTGAAGGCATGAGAGTTATCATAGCAATTCAGACAATTATAAGGTCTTTTTTTTTTTGAAATTAATTTTGGGCCGGGGGTTGGGTGGGAGCAGAATGGCGGCGGTGTTGAACCATTTTAAAAATTGTTTATAGAGTAAGTCAAGAACGCATAGTGACTACGGAACTGTGGCAGTCGATATCGTTTGAGTTTCCTCTAGTATGACTTAAATTAAATTCGCAGCGGGCGACTCCCGAGGGCCGTCGAGCGCACACCATAAACCCCAGTCGCCGCGTTTGCATCGGGAGTTCTACACCTGGTGGAAATGGGATGCGACATCTAAGTCAGTCTCTCCTAGTTTCAACCGTTTTAGAAAAAAACATTAAGCAGAGTCCCACTCTTTTAATTCGCCTTTCTGCGTTTTCCATTCCCAAGATTCCCACGGCGCGTTCGCGTCTTCACTATCGCAGCATGCCTCGAACGTACCCCAGAATTCCGTTCTTTCATACGGAAAAAGAGGGGGGGGGGGTCGTTTTGAGCTCAAATGTGGGCGGAGTAGCCTGAAAATTACCTATACACAGGCAAATTGCCTTCTTTTTTAAGGGTGGAGGGACCTGGCCGCATGGCCGCTGTGAGAGCAGGCGCTTCTCATTCACAACGCTTTCCCCGAATCTTAAAACAATAGTTTCAGACAGCGCGGCAGGCATGGCCTTGCATCGCAGCACCCTGGCAGGCGGTCGCAGCCTCGCTTGCAGTGGACGGCTGCTTGTCATTCCCCGCAGTGCGGCCGTCGGTCTATCCATCTCTCTCGCACCTGTGCGGAACGGCCCAGTGAGTGCGAGAGAGAGGGGGACGCCCCGCGGAATCGCTCTGCAGGCACGCCGCTGCTGCTGCAATCCCTCGGCCGGCAGGGACCCAGGACCGTCCTGCCGCTGGCACCAAATATTGGGGCGACCTGCACTGTTAGTCTGGGGCCCCAATTTTTCGGTGCCAGCTGACAGGCCGGCCGTGAGAAGCCCCTTGAGGGTTCACTTTGCGCTTCGCCCGAGGCTCAGTTGACCGACGTGCAGCGCGCTGCTCCAAGGAAGTCGATAGGACCGCTTATCTCGCAGGGGGTGAGAGTGAGCATGCAGCCAGGCGGCGTCCCCTACACTGCATCCAGCGCTTTCGTCACTGCCTCTCTCGCACTCACGCGGCGTCCCGTAGGGGTGCGAGAGAGACACAACGGCGGAGCGCTGTTCGCGGAATCAGCTCTCGGCGCCCTTTTCCCGAGTCGGGAAAGTACAAACAACCTTGCTTGCGGGTCGCTTGCGGATCCCCGAAACTAAAAATAACCTAGAGCAGAGCGGCGCCCGGACTGACGACGGCGACGGCGTTCCCCACGGCCACGGGGGCAATGCCACGCAGTGCGACGCAGCGCCGTGCACGCAGGGAAGGCGAAGTAGGGCGTGTTTCTGGCGTTGCGCAGTCCACTCGAAAACCAAACGCTGCGTTTCGGCGCCCCGAAACGGCAAGCACCCCTACGTTCCTCGGCGAGGCGCATCGCTGTCGCGCTGCCGCCACCGGTTGGCCTCGCGGAAGGCTTTGTGAAGCTTTGCGGCCACCCAGTCAGCACAAGCCGGTAGGAAAGATGTGACTTGGCGTTGACGCGAAGACTTCCACTGCAAGTCGGCGAGCTAGCTCACCACAAAACGGGCACCCTCTTCTCAATGCCAAAATGTCGCCTCATTCGGTCCGATATCCCCACGTCTGCTGCACGCAATAATTTTGGCATTCAAAACAAAGCACCCATTTTCTGCCGAGCTGAACCTGCAACTTGGTTTGTATTGTTCGGGCGTGTGGGAGGCTGAAATGCCAATATAACTAATTGAATTGAAACTTCAACTACGGTTATTTCCTTGCGGGGGTCGGTGGGGTGAGGGCTCGTTCGGAAAATGGGGAGGGAATTCCCAGGTTTTTGCAGTGCAACATTTCAACCACTGCACGTTCCACATTCGACGACATGGCGCGACGCATCGAGTAATTTCTCGTTTCCAATGGACAATTTGGCGACCGCTTGACCGCTCCTTGGGGTAGACACGACGTGTCCAGACGTACTAACGTGGCCAGATCGTTAAGTGTGTCATTGGGAGAAATAAATTATACACAGGGACGGCCGATCCCACGGAGTTCATAGACCTGGCGAGGGCACAGACCAGGAAGGGTTTACAGGCGGTGGAAAGGGGCGGAGGGAAACACAGGTGCAGTCGGCCGCGGTCAGCGCGCACGACAGCCAGCACACTGATTCCGAGGGTCGTTTGCGTCGCTCTCTCTCGCACCTACATGGGACGACCCACGAGTGAGAGAGAGACAGACTCACGAGGCGTCGCGTGTAGGTGCGAGAGAGACAGGGCGACGGAAAACCCCTTGGGAGTCAGTTTGCAGTGCCGCATGCCATGGCATCGGGCTACGACTCGAGTCGGGGCCGTCAGCGAACGCGCTGGGACCAACCCCCGGGCGGAGCTTACAGTCGCAAAGCTTTCCGCGGGGCACTACAAAAATTCGAAATTGCTGAAGGGTTACATCTACGGGCACTCATCCACTCTACACTTGAATTCACTACGGAAGGGAGGGGTTGCATCTATGAGCACTTCTCTCTACGGTTGTCTTGCACAGCGGCGGCAGCAGCGGCCGACGCCAGCGGCCGGGGCGGCAGGCAGTCGACACGGTGCTGGGGACGCGGCGTCAGCGGACAGCCGAGGAGAACGCCGAGGCGGCCGGAGGGAATGCCACAAAGGCGCCGCGCGGGGGAAACTTACGATTCCGAGTCCGGCATCTTCCTTTTAACTCCCTGCTGGTCCTGCCGGACTTGCTCGTCCTGCTGGACTTGCTGGTCCTGCTGGACTTGCTGGTCCTGCTGAACCTGCTCGCCCTGCTGAACCTGCTGGCCCTGTTGGACTTGCTGGTCCTGCTGGACTTGCTGGTCCTGCTGAACTTGATCGTCCTGCTGGCCCTGCTGACCGTCTTCAGCGGGGGGCGGCCTCGGCGGGAGGGTAGGTGGCCGTCGGACGGGGGAACGCTCGTGCACACGGCGGGGCTGGCGGCGCTGGCGGGGCCGGCGGGGCGCGTGGGGTCCAGCCAACGGCGGCCGCCACACGCCGGGGTAGAGTCCCGGGGGCGGCGAGAGGCGTCCGGGGTGCGGCAGGAGTCCAGGGTGCGGCGGGTACGCCCGGTACGCCCCGGGGTGAGGTAGGAGCGCGGGGTGCCGCGGCGCGTACAACTCGCGGTACTCGTAGAACGGGAAGGGCAGGGGGAGCAGGCCGTTGCCGACAGGGCGTAGAGGCGGGCGTAGAGGCGGGCGTAGAGGCGGGCGGAGCGCGATCCCCGGAGGCGGGCTGAGACGCAGCGAGCGCAGGTCGGGCGGCTTGCTCTTCGGGGCGGCGACTGGCGGCGGGGTCGCGGTCTCCACGGGCACGGCCGGCACGGGCACCAAGACGCTGTGGTTGACCTTGGACGCCATGGCGGCGCACCCCACAGCAGCGGCACGCAGAGGGACTCGGAGAGCGACTTCGAGGACCGGCGAGGCGCGTAAGGGCAGCTGACTGCGGCCTTCCGCACCACGGACCGACGCGAGACTGACGTCGACGTCGGCGGACTCCGGGAAGGCCTGCGGGCGCCGGCTGGTCGCGAGGACGCGCAGAGACCCCTAGTGGCGGTGCGCGGCGGCGCAGGAGAGTCACGGCGGCCTCTGATTGGAGGCGATAGAGAACGAGGGCGGCGCCGGCCAACCAGCCGCCTCCGAACCACCAACCCCCTGCCTGCCCGGCCCCCGCGCCCCGCACTACCCCGCACCCTGCAGGACACCCCACCCTCCCACGCACCCACCCTTTATCACCAATGGCCGCGGCTCCGAGCTTCAGCGCATCGGACGCGCCCCAGAAAGACTTCTGCCAAACTTCTTATCAAGCATGTTTCTTGGCTACGGTATTGCGGCTACTGAGACCCGATTAAAAAAGTTTGAAATTATCTTTGGCCTAGCGAGAAAATAATTTGCAACTTCTTGAGTACGCGCTACGTATTGCCCACAATACAAACGGTCTCCAGGGAATTTTTTTGGCGGCCACAGCGCGCAACAAGCTTCTCAAATTTTCCGCGCCAGCCAGCGCGGTTTACATAAGAAGGGGGTGCCCCAGGTAAGTGGAATTAGCAGTGTAAGCCGCTTAGTCGGAACCGACGTGTTTACGCGTCGGTCCCCCTCACCCTGGATGCGCTGGTGACCCCGCTGCCCCAACACCTGCATCGTCTGCTTGGCTTCCCTTGCCGGGCCGTCCGTCCTGGCGCCAGCGTAGCCAGGCCTCCGGACCTTGACTGCTAATAAGGCTGAAAACCGTGGGCCGGCCGGCCGCCTGCGAACCTCAGTTGCTGCCACGGCGTGCGCCGCTGTCCCGAGGCCGGCCTTATCGTGCCCGCGGCCACGCCCTGCCACGCCCTGCCACGCCCTGCCACGCCCCGGTCCGCGACCTAAGCGTTACGGAACGGGCTGCCCTCTCCGGGCGTCACCAGGTACTAGAACGTGTTCGCGGTGGTCGAGCAGAGCGCGAGCAGGGGCGGCGCACTGCTCGGTCCGAAGGCTTCGCAGGGACTGGCCGTTCCGACCGGCGTACCGCGTTTAAATACACTGTAATTCGCCCACACACCAGCGCACTTCGCGACAAGCGGCGGCGCGCACGGCCTTCGAGGGCCCACGACGCCGAATCTTCCACGGAGTACGCGGCGCAGGATTGGGGCGCAAAGTGGCCTCTGTTCCCGGAAGGGAAAGGAGGACAGCTTTCCGCGAGGCCTTACCGGCTTTTACAGCCTTTCCCGGAGGCGGGGCCGAGATTTGGCTGCCGCGGCCCCGCCGCATGCAGCCGCCAGGGCCTCCAGCTACTCTATACTCTATAATACCAGAAAACGAAGAGCCCTGGGTTCTCGCGGTCGAGGGCTACCTGCAATGCTATCCAAGACGGCAGATGCCATAAACCGCGTTTGGGGACGCGCGGTTTCCATGGCGACGACGCCACGCGGCCACGCGGGTGCCCACATTCTCAACAATCGCTGGGACCCCACCCCACCCACCCTTAACTCGGGAAAGAGAGAGCATTCAGACAAAGAATCACCTGCAGCGCTCCGTGGCTAAAGGAGTAGTAACTGGCGCTTCCACCTGCCACGGCCGTACTGACGCTACGGCGGGTCCACTAGAAGAAGGGAAAGACTGCCGGCGGGGCTCCTGCCGCGGCGCTTCTTGGTGCCAGTGCTGCTCTTGCTGTGGGAAAGACGGGTCCCGGTACTCCTGGCTGGGATCATTATCCTGGAGCTGAAAGCAAATCCAATCTATTCAACATCTACCCTCCAGAATAAAAACTAAAGCAACCCTAATGACGATCGGGGCCGGCCTTCGAACCCAGGAGGGAAGTCACTCGTGCGTCTAAGTCCTGCGTTCGAAAACCAGCCCCATGTCAAATGGTGCGAACTTCGTTACCCACGTCTACCTGCACGGGAGTCACATGCCGCTGGGACCATTCTTGCTGCTGCTGCTGCCGCCTGCTAGGCGCGAACTGGCGCGGGTCCCTGGAGGGGTTGGGGTAGGCGACGTACTCGCCCTGGTACCCGTTGCCATTTGGCGGCCAAGAATATTGCTGGGGTTGCTGGTTAGGTTGATACTTGGTTGATGGTGCAGGTTGATAGTGTTGTTGATGTTGTTCCTGGGACTGTTGTTGTTGTTGCTGTGGCGGCCAATTTGGAGTGAAATGCTGTGACGGCGGGTGTGCTGAGGGTGCTGGCTGTGACGACCAGCCCTGCTGCGGTCCCTGCTGCCAGCCTTGCCAGCCCTGCTGCTGCGGCGGCGTTGGCGGCGTGCAGTCTGCCTGCTGGCGACCGCCTTGGTAGTGGTGCCACGTCACAGGGGTGCTGTAGTAATTGTTGTTGTTGTTGTTCTGGTAGTTGTTGTTGGGAGGGCGGTAGCCGTTGTAGGCGCGAGGCTGCTGGGGCTGCGGAGCCGGCACCGGCTGCGGCGTCCAGTACATGTTGTTGTTGTTGTTGGCCCAGGGCCTGTCATCGCGGTCACAGGGGCCGCCCATCTCGCCGTTCTGGAAGCGCGACGAGTTGCCAAAAAGCTGTCTAGGAGCGACGGTGTGGCGCCCTCCACGCCGCATCTTGTGAACCTGGAACAGAGAGAAGTCACTCATTTCGGACCCAAAACGGTACGAACGCAGAGTGCGAGGCGAGCGCTCGCTCGCTCTCTCACACACTCCCTCGACACACACACTCGCACCGCAGATGAGGGGTCGTACCCAAGCTACGTGACCGATTTTAGGCCACTTTTTGACCCCCTCCCCCTCAGTGACCAGGATAACCTACAGTTCCCATGTAATTAAGACAGGGCGTAGTGGCTCGACTCCCCCCTTCCCCCAAAATTGTTACGTAGTATGGGTACGGCCCCTAGGGTAAACGCGCCTCCAGCCGCGCGGTGCACCAACGCCTTGGCGGACTGCAAATTGACGGGCCAGCCGTCCGAAGGCACGTTTCGTCGTCTCTCTCGCTCGCACTCACAGGGCGGCCCTGATGCGTGCGATTCCCCCCCCTTTTTTTTGGGACTCGGCGGCGCTCACGTATGCAAGGGCATCGGTCACGGCTTGCTGGCGAGGCGACCGCCCCCGCAGGACGGCTCATAACCTAAAACAGCCCTCCAAAAAACAAACAAACACGCGGTCGGACCGGACAGGTTCACGACGCGTCAAGCACTCACACGACGGATTGGCTCCGGATGTGCTAGTCGGTAGTCTGCGGTGGGATTTCAGGCAAGATACCACAAGCGAGAGCTGCTCGAACAACAGCTCGGGGCAAGTCCGAACCTTTTGTCACACTGGGCATGGACACACTATTTCAGCCGACCCGAGAGGAAGAACTAGGCACAAGGCATGACGAGCGGGCTCCATCCGGTCGGGTCACAGCGATCACACGTTTGTCCAGCCGGCCACGCAATCCGGAAAAACAAACCGTCGAACTGTTCAACCGGCGGGGGCAACAATGCTGGTTGGTAGCCACGAAAGCCACAGCCGCGCACAGAACGGCGCAACAATCACAACAAAAAGCTGTCTTGGGCGTCTCGGCAGGCCGCGGCGCGGCGAGCCCTTCCACGTGCGGGGCGACGCGGGCCATCAAGAGACAGGCCGTCGCTTCCAACCACAAACTAACAAACACACTCACACAGAGCCAGACGAGCGATCCAAAACAGCAGCTGGATCGCTGCCAAGGAAACAAGGCCAAGGGCGTAATGGTTCGTAGGAACGCCCCAGCTGGCCAGCCAGACGGGCGCGAGCCGCGCGAGTCGTCCTGCCTCGGCTAGGTTATGGTGGCTGGACGCGGTTTTACCTGTGTGTGCCCGAAACGCTGTCCTGGCCGTAGGCTCGTTGCATCCTCGGGAATGAAACTAGTCCTGAACCTAGTCGCTGGGGCAGAAATGAACTGCACTCTAGGTCCTCTCGGTCCGAACTGGCTGGACTCACGGAACGCGGCTCTAGAGCGGAGAACAGACGAAGGCGCGGGCCGAGAAGAACTGAGACAAACTGGCGGCGGGGCGCGGCGGGGAAGGGGACGAGGAAGGAGGAGGAGGAGGCTGTTGCAGTTCCGGCGCGGCGGCGCGGCCGTCCGCCGTGGTCCGCCGCGCCGCTACCGCCGCTCCCTCTGTTGGCGCTAGGCGGCGCGTCGGCGGTGGAGAAGAGAGAGGGAAGGGAAGGGCGCGGGCTGGAATCTCCTGGTGGTGGGGACGGGAGCGGCCGCTGTCGCTGTCCGCTCTCGGCTCGCGGGAAAGCAGGAGCAGGGAAGGGAAGGGAAAGGGCGCGAATGCGCGCGAAGCTCCTCTCTCTCGCACTCATCCCGGAAACACGCAAAATAGAAAGAGGGAGGAAGACAGACAGACAGACGGACGGTGCCGCCCAAATCTGGAGGCCGGCCGCGGGCACGCGCGGCACGCAACACTTTGTCTCTGGTCCGCCAAGGCTGCTGCGCGGTGCCACAAAGTACAGGGCAACAAAGTAACGCGATGCGGCGATACTTTAGCGATTTCTCATGGCGGCAGCGCGGCAGCCAGCACAGCAGAAGTGCAAACTGTCTTGACTCTCTTGACCTTCTTGACCTTGACACGCGCCAGGGGGAGGGGAGGGGGCGTTGGGGGCTTCCTGATGAAGCGTCGCTGCGCGGGCGTCTCGCCTTGCGCTCGTCGCGCGCCTGGGCCTGGGCCCCGCGAGGGGCAGGGCGTTGCAGGGAAACGGCCCCGGCCGCGCCGTCGGGCCGTCCACCGCTGCTGGACACGGCGGAGGCAATCTCGGGCGGGTCGAAGGTCGAAGGGTGGCTTGTTTGCGCCCTCTGTTTGGCCGTCGGCAGCCGTCGGCGAGATGGCGGTCGAGCACGGCGCCGTGCCTCACTTCGGCGGCCGCGCCCAGCACGCCCAGCACGCCGCCGCCGTGCTCTCGTGCTCCACGGAGTCCAGCGCGCCCAGCACGCCCAGCACGCCGCCATGGCCGACGAGAGGACGGCGCTGCTGCCGACCACGTCCAAGGACGCCGTCAAGGACGGGCCCCCGTCCGAGGGGGACACGAGCTCGGGGTACTCCAGCATCCCGCGGGTCGAGAGTTCCTGCCAGCGCAGCGCCGACAACGGGTAGGTCCTGGGGGTGGGGGTTCTTCTTTGACAGGTCCTTCCGGCCCTTCTTGCCGCCCTTGTTTACCAGTGCATCGTACCGAGAACTCGCCATCTGCGCACACGCGGCTGCATCTCGGTCTCGTTCGAGGCGCCGGACGCGCGGCCGCCCACACGGGAAGTCCCCCGCGGAGTGCGAGCGGGACAGCGCAGGGCCGAACCTTGGTCCATGGGTCCGTGGTCGTCCGGTCCGTGGGTCCGCGGTCCGAGCCGAGGCAGTCCTTGTGGCGGTGTGGGAGTCCTTCGGTTGGCGGCGCGCCGCCGCCGTCTCTGAGACGGAGGCTGAATGCGTCCGTTTATATAGCGGCTCGCGGGCCGCGGATCGCTCGCCCCCTCCACCGCCACCGCGGGGCGCGGCTCGCCGTGCTCGCGCCTCCAGACGTCGCCATCTTATCTGCTGTCCGGCAACAAAACCGGTTTCGCGCACCACCTGGCCAGAAGGCCACTGCCGCCGCTGCAGGCTGATTGCGGACCGCGTTTGAGTCGCTCCGCCTCTCACTCTCGACGCGACGACTCCGAGAGTGCGAGAGAGACGGATGGCTCTGCTGTCCGCTTTGCCACGCTTTGCTGCGCTTTGCTGTGAACAGTGCTGGGGCGCTGTCCGCGAGTGGGCGGCCCCGTCGAGCTGTGTCTCTCCCTGAAAGACAGCTGCAGGGCCCAGACCGCCGCCAGCTAATTAAGTGAATTTCAAGTGGGGATTTGCATATAAAGCTGGACACAACACAGAAGGGGCCCTGCGCTCTCGCACCTGTCACCGGTATCGTCACTTTATGGCCTCGGGTCAAAAAGCAGAGGACCCCAAGTCGTAAAAGGCGGAATGCCGAGGACACAGTCGCGCGACGTATCAAATTTGGGGGAATCTGATAGGGGCCTCGGTACAACGAGAAAAGGACCGAACTGGAGGGGTTCTAAGCCCAGCGAGAATCAAGTATACATACTGCATTCAGATTGTTTTGAAGAGATGGGGGCCTCATGGCAGGGCGACGACGACTGGTCGGATGGGCACTGGGTGGGCACTGGGTGGGCACTGGGTGGGCACTGGGTGGGCACTGGGTGGGCACTGGGTGGGCCACTGGGTGGGCACTGAATGGACACTAGGTGGGCATTGGGTGGACAACTGCAACGGAGATGATTTCCCCTTCCAATTATTTCCAATCGGCATGGTGGTGGTAGCCGTCGCAAAATAACGCAGGAGTGGGAGGTGCTGGAACGCGAGCGAACTGTGGAAAGGCAAGTGGTGGAGGCAGGAAGTGGGGGCTCCGTGTGGGTGCCCGACGGTGCGTGGGGGCCCGTGTGGGTGTCCGACGGTGCGCGGGGGGCTCCGTTGAGGTGACCAGCGGTGCATGGGGGCTCCGTTGGGGTGACCACCTGTGACACTTTCCAACAGTGTACCTCACGGACGGCACGATGCAAACACACTGGCTGAGATTGCCTTTCTCACCCGCGAATGAATGTAAGAGGACTCGGTTGTTTTTCCCGGCCGGCCGAGTGATAACCGGTCGCCAGGACGACGCTGTAAGGCCTGTAAGGCGAGCGCGGATGCCGGCGGATGCGTCACCAGGGGGCCCAGGGGGTGGGCAGGGCAAGGCGTCCGTCACTCTGAAAAAAATTGTCAAAAATTGTTCAGGGCTCCTGCACGGATCACCCGTGCTACCACTTATGCATAACAACGCCTACGCGTTAGACTACCAAACTCGCATCCCCGCCGCCCGTTGCGACACCCTAATGGACGCCAATTTCTCTCACTCCAGTAGCGTGGAGGCAGTAAAATTCTCCATCCACACAGACAGCCCCAACTCGTGGTGCTGGCTATAGTCGGACCTCCATAACACCACCGCTCCCGCTTTCGCCCCCAATGCTTACTTATTAGGGGTCACCAGCCTGGCCACGGCGGCCACGTCCATCGCCAGTCCCCGCGCCGCCCTGCTCCCACACACGCCGACGGCCGCCTCGCCGTCCACTGTCTCCGTCTCACCAAACGCGCGCCCTTTATAAAGCGCGCCAAGTCGCTGCGTTTGCTCTGTTTCCGCCCTTTGAACCGCTGCACTGTTGCATCGCGGCTTGATAGCGGCGCTTGGATCTCGCAACGGGGGGCAAGGCCTCATGACCTGCACACGGATTCCGAGAGTCGTCGCCCTGTCTCTCGCGCACTCATAGGGAACGCCCCGAGTGCGAGAGAGTCAGGGAGACAACAACGACCTCGAAATGTGGGGCGCGGGGGCAGGGGGTGCGGCACCTCCGCCCCGGCGGATGATAACGCAGATGCCGTGCAACGCACCCAAGGCTCACCTCATTATCAAGCGGGCTAAATTCAACTAGCCGATAGCGACCTCGAATCAAAACCCGACCAGTCAGGACAAATAAATAGCCTCTGTTCTCTTTCGACAGGTTCCGCAGACGCGAGTACGCCCGGCTGCGGCGCATCGTGCTGGTGGTGGTCGGCGTGGCGACGCTCTTGATGGCGGCGGGGCTGCTCGTGGACCTGCTGGTGCCGGCGTCCGCGGCGTCCGCGCCCGGCCCCCCGCTGCCGCCGTCCACCGTCTTCCACCCCGTGCCGTGACGTCCCACGAGCCGCCGCTGCGCCGCCGCGTCGCCCGCCCGCCCGATACGTCTGTGATCTCATAGTATTAAGGAAGTTCTTTGACCGTCGTTGGAATATAACATTTTAATAAAATTTCGTAAGGATGCAGTATGAGTACCCTAATGCCGAATTCCGAATGCCCCTTGCATTTTTACTAAATCAATTCTGCCCAAAACGGCAGTAAAAATGGGCCCTGGCGGACCCGTTTTACATGGGCTCTTATGGGAGGACGGGTGCAGTGCAACTGTTCCATTCACATTGCTCGCTCAGAAAATGTAAAATTAAGTCAAAAAACTGATATGTTGTTCACTAATGTCTACAGAACACGTAGTATTACTGCAATCCAGTTTTTACTAAAAGGAAAAGGAGCACTACGTTCTGAAAGTTGGAAAATCGCGTCCCGTGCCGAGCGCTTGGGCGGGAGGAGCAGCAGATGTGACAACGTCGGGTGGCCCGCGCTGGCCCGCGCGGGGCCGCGCAGCCCCGGACCCGGCAGGCTCCCTCGCCTACTCAGCAGGGCTGCGGGGGCTGCCACTCCAACCGGCGTGTGGCGTTGCCGCTGTGCACTACCGCAGCAAGGCTAGTTTTCTGAATATTTCGGAATAAAAAGACGTCGAGTAGACACGATCAGAAGGTGCAGTTGCACTATGAGCACTAATCTGCGCAAATCTATCATGGTTAGAAGTGCCAAAGAACACTGTTCCCTTCAAAACCTGTGCGGCGCATTTCAATGACAGCGGTTGGTATGGCTAATGCTTCCTTATGGAGCCCCCCTCGCCCCGCAACACCCCCGCAGACGGTCAAAGAACTTCCTTAAAGCCGACTCGACTCCGGAGCGTCTTCTTAACCCCTCCCCTTTTCCTTCAAGAATTGCTATCAACTGGCCGATTGCTGTCAACCCAACCAGTGTGGGTGGGGGCCTCGAAACCGTCACCTGCAGGCCGATTCCGGCCAGCGGTTCGTCGCTCTGTTTCTCTCGCACTCGGGACGCCTTGAGGGCGAGAAAGAGAAGCAGGAATCGGTCTGCTGCTTGGTTCGGGCTGAACTCACGTTGGCTGACCACTCGTGGCGGTGGCGGTGGCGCTGGTCGTCGCGGTGGTCGTCACGGCGGCGGTCGTTGTTCCTCGTGGTCTTGGTCCGCCAGTCCCTCTCCGCGGTCCTCCGCGGCGACCACCGGCCGTCGTCGCGGCTCGCTCGGCGTCCTCGCGCTGGTGCCGGCGGCATGGCGGTGGCTGCGCACGCGTTGGCTGCAGTCCACCAGCGCCGCGAGACTAGACTGAACCGGCACGGCACCCGAACCCGACAACCCGACAACCCGACACGCAGATGCGCCCCGGCCGCCG